GTAGTGTTTGCTGTCCCTTGTCTTTCCCCTTCTGTTCTTTCTCATTGCGTTATGAATGTAATAACATAGAATTAATGTGCTCATGTTTTACTGATGTGTTTCTCCCTCCATTTTTAGAACCAGTTTTCTTCTGTATATAGGTGTTGAGGGAATGAAATAGCAGGGATATGTTCTGTACTGTCAGAGCCATTTTTTACATCATTAAGGATAAACTTCTATCTAGTTGAGGAAGTTGTAGAACCTCTCTGATCACTAATGATGAGAAATTAAGTGGTAGCTAACATAAATTCTGTTGTATTTTGACACGCTTGCTGCTCCATCTGTGTGTGACTTTGAGTGGTTTTGCAGTGTGATTGGTAAGGTTAAAAAAAAAATCAATCACCACCACCAACAAAGTGTTTTCTGCAGGTGAAGACAGTGGTAATTGAATCACCAGTGAACCCAGTAAAGGTAAATGTGATGTAGCTAACTATTTATATTCTTTTGTAGGTGATGGATGTGGACACACCGTTCTGGGTCCTGAAAGTGGAACTCTTGCTTCAATAAACTACCCACAGACCTCTCCTAATAGCACAGTCTGTGAATGGGAAATTCGTGTAAAGCCTGGGCAGCTAATTCAGCTCAAATTTGGTGATTTAGATATTGATGACTCAGATTCTTGTCATTCCAGTTACTTGAGAGTTCACAATGGGATTGGCCCCACCAGGACAGAGATAGGTAAGTTATTTTCAGCTATTGTCATGTATAGGGCTTGGAAGATAGTTTTAGTACTTTTGTAACTCTTAATTTCACCTTCCCAGCCTTCACTGTGCATATAATAATCACAAGTTTTATGGTATTGCAGTTATTTTTACTGCTCTTGAAAGCTGTTGTACTTCAATTGCTTATTGGACGTGATGAGACCTTGCCTGATACGTGCATGCAACACTTTGTACAGTGCAGATTTTGACACTTAGGAGAAGTGGTGAAAAGAAGGAAGTGTTTGTTATGTACAAGAATCTTTAAGAAGGCAAAGGAAGGAATTTTAGGAATTCTGTAGTCAAAGTTGTGTTTTTACTGAGTTTCATGCCAAGGAAACTCTGCAAAACATAATGGAGTGCTGCCTGTACCTCACCAACTTTACCAGCATCTCTGGTGATGAGCTCGTTTCACCACTGTTGCTCAGCAGATGAGGTTTCTAGAAGGCCAGAGTATTCTTAATTATTCTGACATGGTCTCATTTTGTTTACTGTATTATAAAGTGTATGTATATGTCTGTTCTGACTCCATTCCTAGATGCTAAAAATGCCCTGAAAACATGATGAATTTCCACAATAGCAGAGCATCTTTGTTCATGCATACTGATAGATGCTAAATGCAGCACAGATCCTGTGATAGTTTGTGATCTTCGGACTCTTGAAGGAAACTCCATTATAATTTTCCTTTTTCTCAGACATTTCCCAGTAGCTTGCAGAGTGGCAAGAGACTGCGAGATCATTGTAAGCAGTGAAGGAGTTGCAAAATTCTGAGCATTGTTTTTAAAAAGAAAAAAAAAAAAGGCAAAGTGAAGTATATACATACATACATACATACATTACCTGAAATGCCTGCTTTCTTGTACTGAAGTAGTTCTTTTTTGAGCTCTTCATCTTGGTGTTATTAAAAGATGTCAAGCTTCAATAATTTATAATTTAAATATCTTCCATTTTCTGATGGTAAGGAATCTGTAGTTCACTTTGTACTTTTTACGATTTCATGACTGTAAAGCAGTTACTTTTCAGATAGCAGTGTGAAATTATTATCCACATCAAAGGTATTTGTAGGATTTTAAGATCCTTGATTCTTCATAAAACTGGAATTATCATTTTTCCTTTACTAACATTGGTTGTTATTGTGCAGATTCATTTACTTTTCCCTTCTTTGTCTAGAGATGTACTTCACCAGGATTGCTTTAGTGCAACTCATGTCGAGTCTTTTTATAAGAAAGCTAGGGAGATGTTAGCTTTGTTAACCCTCTTTTCCAACTGTTACCTAGTTAAGCATGTGTGAAAATAAATACGTGCTTGGAGCTGCGGAGCCAGGCTTGGTCTGAAATAGAAAGCACTGAAGTCCTTAAATGGCAAGGAACGTCCAGTTCTGATAAGTCTATTACTCACTTGTACAAGTGACTTAATGGGTTGGAGTAAATTTTCTACTTCATTTGTTTCTCTTGACTCTCGGCTGTTTCCAGCTGGTGTAGTAGCAAAGTATGTCGAGCAAATGTGTGTGGTGTTCTGCTCCTAATAAATGAAATCACGGAACAAACAATGATCTTAACAGTAGCAGATGCAGATGGTGCTATTTCTTAAATGTTTGTATCTGGAGCTGCAAACAGTGAGATTAAACAGTCATCTGAATTTGTTTGGATAGAATTATCTTCTGAATTTGTCTTTTTTTTTTTTTTTTTTTCATTCAGCATTGCTGCTGTGTTCTAATGCTGAAACATAAAACCTGGAATTCAGTGAAATCACCTACTTTAACTCCAAATTGCTTTAAAAGTTGGCTGATCAGATTTCAAATTGAATTGTTACTGGGTTAGTTCATTGATAAGCAGAGAAGGCTTCTTATGAAGCTCTTAAGGATTAGTTCTCAGTCCAAGCCTTTTGAATACTTATCAGTAAATCAAAAGAAGCTTTGAATCCTCGGTGTTAAATTTATCTCTCTTTCAAGTAAGATCTGGAGGTGTTTTGTATTAGATTTCATTGCAATCCAGCCAATAGACGTTTGCAGACAAGTATATTTATTTAATGTATTTGATGTAAGGTCAGATCTATTGGAGCGGAGAATGTAAGCTACTGTGGAGATTCACCTCTTGCTGTAGTCTTGTTGTTCAAAAGTGCTTTGGTTCTTTCAGGCACACAGACAGACAGGTAGTTTTCTGTGCATTGAATTGACAGTCATCACTGCAGTCGTGTTTTGTCCATTTCTGGCGCTTACTTTTTAAAAATACTTTGCTAAAAATCTGGAAGGAAACCAAAGAAGAGCTAGGAAAATGATTTAGGGTCTCAAAAGTGTGTCTTGCAATGAATCATATGGTGCATCTGTCTACAGTTTGTCACAGGCTGTATCTCCATGGTACGAGCAGCACCAGCTAGTTTATCCAAGCTATATTTATGTGTCCTGCTGTGTGAACTTGCCCAAAGAAGAGGTTAAATGGTGTCTTGTGGACAGTCTGACCTACTCTGAGAGGAGTTTCATGCTGGTCAGTGGTGTAAAAAGAGCCAGAGGCTGAAAATGAATTTTAAAAAAATGGGAGAAAAGAAATGAGAAAAGTAGTAGTTGGGGAAAATGCTGCAATTCATCATCATGAATTCAGTTAGTAATTGAAACTAGATTGAGGGCAAAGTGTAGGGTCTGTGTGGAGCCTTGGTAAAAGGAAACTTATTTTTTCATAACTTTTGCTGCTGACCAGCTTAAATAGTAAGAATTGGAATAAAGTTATATCTGTATAATTTTATATATTTCATTAAAGTATTACAAAATCTACTTTCTGGTTTTGTCCCGAAATACCCATGCTTTGTATGAAAAAATATCAGAATAAACAAAATCTAGATGCCTCTGATGAATGATAGGAATTTGTATTTCTAATTTAAATAGTGTTTGAGAGTGCAGTTCACTTCTTAAAGGAATTTGGCACATTACCTTAGTTCAGAACTGTTTCTGCAAGGCAGTATTCTACTCCATCTTGAAAAGGGAGCCTGGCTTTGGTGTTTTGTTTTTTTGTTTTGTTTTGTTTTTTGCTATTTTACAAGATGACAACCTAAGTATCATGAAAATGAATGAATGAATGGTAAGTTGAAACATGCAGAGCCATCTGCTGTTGGTGGTTGTCCACACAGAGTCTTAAATAGGGTTGTGTTTGGCTTATAATATTGATTGTTTAAGAGAGCCTATGGAGCAGAACATTTTCGTAACTGTCTAATGAACTGTTAGCAGTTTAGTGAAGTTTCTCATAGTAGAATTGGAGAATTCCATGTTGATTTGCCTCTCATAGCCATTCATCCAGGTAATTTCAAGTCATTTGGTAGTAATTCTTAACTTAATAGGCAGATATTATCAATATCTGATGACTCCAGCTTCTCAGTTTAAAATGTGCTAATTATAGTCGGTTTGGATGACAAGAAAAATACCCAGATGCAGAACAAGCCTAATCTGGTTTGAGGTTTTGGTTGTTTTTGTGTTTGTTTGTTGTTTTGTTTTGTTTTGTTTTTTTGTCCTGCTGAGATAGCTGCAGTACCTGTGTTAGGTGTTACAGGAGCAGCAAAAGAAGAAATGGGCCAATTGCAGGTTTATATTAGTAGAACTCAGATATGCTTGTATGTTGATGCTGAATTGCAGTGAATCATGCCTGCTGTTGTCACAAAAGAAAGAAAAGCAACTGACAGAAAGCATGAGATAATCAGCAGGGAAGAAACACTCCAACAGCTGAGGAGAGAAGGGCTTTTTTCCTCATCTGCTTCTGTACGTGATTCTTGTTGCCCCATCTTTCTCATCTTGGAAGAATGGGCTGGATACATATGGCTGGAGGTGAATGGGATGTGTTACATTTATCTGTAAGTGTTAGGGATACCAGTGTCTCTCATCCATTGGCAGTGTCAAAGTAAATATACTTTGGTATTTGCTTTAAACAGACACTGACCACATTCATTCCTATCAACTGCCTGTGTTTGGTTTTGAATATGCACCAGATGCATCGTGAGCTTATAGTGGAAGTGAAAAAAGATACTTGTTACTGAAGTTGCTTTGGGTCCATGACTCTTTTCCCCTTCTTTCCCTAGGAAAGTACTGTGGATTTGGCTTTCAAATGGATGGTTTAATAACTTCAAGAAGCAATGAAGTCACAGTGCAGTTCATGAGTGGGGTACACACTTCGGGGCGTGGATTTCTTGCAGCTTACTCAACCACTGACAAATCAGGTATTTGTAAAATCCTCATAGTTGTTCTGTGCTGATAAAGTTAGAGTGGTCTAGTGAAACCGCAGACCGGTTTCGTTACCCGCATTCTTACAAATTGACTTCTAAAAATAATGACTTATGATGCAGTCTTCCTGATATCTCTGCATAGGAAATCAAACTGTTATTTAAGTTACTGTAGTTTAAATAGGAGGAAGAAAAAGGAGAAGAAAAGAAGGGTTATCAAACCTTACCCTCAGTAAAGCAAGAATCACAGTTATCTGTTATGAATGAAAAAGCTACTCTGGATAAAGGATGAAATGCATTTTTTCCAGCCATAATCAAGATGACCGATAACTTGGAAATGTTTTCTTATCTAACTGTATATATTCTATGCACGCCCACCTCATGGCAAAATTTATTTCACTCATAATTTCCTTTACTTCCTCAACTCTGCAATCTCTCTGTAACTGCTAACTAGTTTTCAGTGTGTTTTTTTTTTTCCTTGCTTTGTTTTTCTTGCTGGTTTGTTTTGCTTTGTTTTGTTTTTCCTTGTGTTTTTTATTCTTTTTTTCTCTAGCCTCAAAAAGAGGCTGCTGTGTTTTGCATCTACTTCCACTCACTGTGGAGGTGAGTGACACACATTGTCCGAAAGGAGACAAGAATTAACCAGGAACTGCTTTTCAAAGCACAGAGCTCAGGAAGATACTTCCTGGATGTAGTTCTAAAAAGAGCAGATGAAGAGGTTTCATTTTAGAAATTCTGTGGATATTCTGATGCTTTTCTCTGTTTTGGATTGTTTGTGCTCACACACTGCACAGAAACATAAAATTTGAAAGAAGTCGTGGATCCCAGTAACGTGTCACTGTAAGATTTCCTGTGCTGCCTGCTTTCAGTATTGTTGGACTGTTACATGCTGAAAACACAGACCTGGTTATCTGGCTTACTAATGTAATTTTCTCTGTTTCAATTTGCTTTTTGTGAAAAGAGTGCATTCTTATGTCTCCTATGTAGATTCTCTGAAGCATAGCTACAAATTAAGATGCAGAAAAAAAAAACCCCAAAAAACAAAAAAAGCCATATGTTTGTAGTGCTTCTCTTCATGTCTCTGTAAGTCTCAATGTATTTTCCAGTTACTCAAGACAAATTACGAGGTCCTGCTATAACATAAGACTGACTGGAAGAAAATTATGTACACTTTAAAAAGCATGCTCAAAGCAGATGTCTTTATCACCCTCTTGACCCAGCATTTTTTCTTTCCAGACCTAATTACCTGTTTGGACAACGCAAGTCATTTTTCTGAACCAGAATTCAAGTAAGATTGCTTTTACCTCTTCTTCTCCCGCTCCCCTTCCCTCATTTTGGTCTTTTTGGTGTTTCTGTTTCACTCTATAACTTACACCTGATACAGCTTGAAAACTGGGGTTTGAGGACTTGAGCAATGAAAAGACTGGGGAGAGAGCTGAATAATGTTCACACTTGCATTTGTTCTTCATCCCCTCTCTCCTGTTTTTTTTTAATCTTACATACCATACACAGGAAGAACCTCATTAATTTGTGCTAACACACATATTACATTCCCATAGAAAAAAAAATACCACTTTTATAAATATACATTGCAGCACGTATACGTTTTAAATACTGAAATTCACATTGAAGTTATCAAAGGAGCACTAAACTCTGGAATAGGTAAAAAATTACAAACCCATTTCACAGCCTGGTGTGAGTTAATGAGGTTCTGTAGAGATATAAAATGCTTTTCTTTCTGATGGAGGAAATGCATCATTTCTCTGTTTTGTCCCCCATTTCTGTCTAAAGCAACATCAGTGTTAAAAGCTGTAGATTATCATGAGGTATGTAAGCTTTCCTTTTGGAGATCTTAAGCACTGAAGTTGTGAAACCTGCATTCCTCATTCATTTTCCCAAGTTCCAAAATTATAGGCTGTAGTTTTATTCAGTATGTGCTTAGGTCTCCAAATCCCATTGTTTTCATGGCACCTGCAAAATTGCTTCAACTTTTGTTGAGTTGATATTTTACCCAAGTTGGTTGTTAAATCTTGGCTAAAACATAGGCTTGCATCAGATGTGCAGATGTCTTTCCCTTCTTTCCAGGAGCTAGTGATGCGAGCTGAATATTTGACCCGTTCTTTCTTTTTGAATGGTCAAAGCATTGCCAGGAGCTATTGCTAAGTACCATTATTTTTCAGGTATAAATTTAAACATGCAAAACAAATAGATATGCAGGTCTCTAGTTTATAAAATATAATGTATAAATACTGCTGCCTACGAGGCTTTCAATTTATGGAAACCATGAAGTATTTATATCAATTTTATTATATTCAGACTAGAACTGAGTTACAGCTGAGACAGTTTTATGTTTTTGTCTGGTTTCTTATGTCTTTGATTAGGAGATATCCTTACGTAGTGGTAGAAGTGATAACAGTGTATTACAAATATTATAAATACAGTGTCTATTTTATAATGTTTTGAAAGAGTTGTAGCTGCATGCGTGCCTTGACTTGAATTTTTATTATTATTTTTTCTTTCAGTAAGTATTGCCCAGCTGGATGTGTGATTCCTTTTGCTGATATTTCAGGCACTATTCCCCATGGATACAGAGATGTAAGTAAACTTACTACTGTAGGCACACATTAATTGTGGTAAAATACTTCAAGTTTGATTAAAACTCATTTATAGTTATTTGTATTAGCTCTGCTGTCTGGACTCTGGAAGTTGCACCTCCTAAATTAAATGGCATGCTACTCGTGTTTTTTTTTCACAGCTGCTCAGCGACTGGTGTTTCAGTGAGTCCAAGAGGGCCCATGAAAATCAGAGGGCTGGAACATCTCTCTTATGAAGAGAGGCTCAGGAAGCTGGGCTTGTTCAGCCTGGAAAGGAGGCAGCTGCAGGGAAACCTTCTTGCGGCCTTTTGATAATACTTGAAGGGCTTATAGTGACAAGGCTTTTAGTGCAGGCTTGTAGTGATAGACAAGGAGTAATGGCTTCAAATTGAAAGAGACTGGATTTAGTCTAATTTTAGAAAGAATTTTTCTGCCACCAGGGGGATTAAACATTAGAACAGGTCACCCAAAGAAGCTGAGGATGCCCCATCCTTAGAAGTGTTCAAAGCGAGGCTAGACGGGCATTTGGGCAACTTTATAAGATGTCTCCTCTGCTGACAGCAGAGTTGGACTAGGTGGTCCTTCCAACCCACACCATTCAATGAATCCATGTTGCCATCTCCAAGAAGTGATGCAGTGTACCAGAGACTTGCAAGGCCTTCTGAGAAAAAAATGTATCAACCAAAATACTCTGATACTTCCTGCTTTGTTTCTGTTGGCTTTTTCAAGTTGTGAATTTCAGCTTTGTAGAGAGAACCAAAGTTTTTTGTTGTTTTTTTTTTTTTTTTTTTTTAATGAAGTCATCTTGCTTTTGGTACTATGATATTTTAAACAGACTTTCAATGATTTACACTGTTTACACTGGACAGCTATGAAAACAGTTACAAAACAGTTTATACTGTAGCATTAATAGTTCTATTAACTGGAAATTGAAATGTAATAATGTAGTTTACTTGGAATGTTACAAAAGAATGTACACTGGTCTTTAATATTTAATATGAACCTAAAATGTGCCGCTCTGTCATTTACTTTTTTCAAATACCTGTAAATCCTAGGCTACCTGCTTAAATAACTATTCATATGTTTAAAAAACAAAGTCACCACAGTGTAGCTGTTAAGTGTTATGTTCTGCAGTGAGTCCTTGCTAAATAGCTGCAGGATAATTTTTATGCCTATTTATAAGAAGGAGTTTATTCTCTGTATCTCATATTTGCAGCATCTGTAGGAGCCTTGCTTGTTGGAGTTGTTTCTTTTGGCCAAAATCAGGAAAAAATTTTCTATGGAGGAAAAAGAAAACTTCAGCAAATAAATCCCCTGTGACTTTCTCTTTGTATGACTTAATGGCCTGTATAAAGGGCAGAGAGTTTCCCAGAAGTCAAATTGGATGGAAAGCAATCAAATTGTAAAACACGTAAGACAAAGTTGCAGGTAGACATTTTGCTTGCATCCCTTCCTACAGATCTTAGCTGTGTACTGCTTTAAAGAGTACCCTAAATCTTGGTTCTTTTGTGTAATCCCTTGGAGGACTTGGAGCACTCATTGCTGACATCTTCTGGTGAGTGGGGAGGAGACAGTTTAGTTTACAGAATCCCCATACTTCTACTTGCAAGAGGAGATAAGAGGGAGTGGGAAACTGGGTGTTTAAGCCAGTCATGTTTACATTTATCTAGAAGCTTTTGAGGGTATTTGTGGGGTAAGGAATCAGAATCTTTGCAGGAAGGTTTTGTGCCAGTGAGCTTGAGATATAGGGGCATTTTGACCTGTAGCATAATGCAGTTATTTCTCGAGAGGCCATAGTGGAGAATGTTGTTCTGTTTTTAAAATAAGAAGAAAAATTATCCATGAAGTTTGGGACAGAGAGGCTGGAGAGCAACCCTGATGATGGGGATCTTGGGGGTTCTGGCTGACAGCATGTGGTCCAGCAGTGTGCCCTGGCAGCCCAAAGGGCCAACTGTATCCTGGGGTGCACCGGGCCCAGCACTGCCATGAGCAGCGTGAGGAGGGCTTGTCCTGCTCCGCTCTGTGCTGTGCAGCCTCAGCTCCTGCACTGGGTGCAGCTGTGGCTGCCACAGAATGGGAAGGATGTAAAGATATTAGAGCATGTCCAAAGGTGTGCTGCAAAGACAAGGAAGGGTGGTTAGGAGGGCAGTGTGTGTGAGGGGCTGGACTGAGGTCCTGTGGTGCGTTCAGCCTCAGCAGAGGAGCTGAGGGGAGGCCTCATGGCAGCTGCAGCTCCTCACAGGGAGAGGAGGGGCAGCTCTGAGCTCTGCTCTCTGGGGAGGGTCAGGGTGGGGGTTGGGGAAAGGTTCTTCACCAGAGGGCAGTGGGACCCTGGAACAGGCTGCCCGGGGCGGTGGGCACTGCCCCTGGCTGTCAGAGTTCAAGGGACATTTGGACACCGCTTTCAGACATTGGGTTTGGATTTTGGATGGTGCTGTGTGGAGCCAGCAGTTGGACTTGCTGATCCTCGTGGTTCCTTCCAACTCAGAATATACTGTGGTTCTGTGAAGTTTCCCTTTTTCTAGACAAGATCTGCTGATTTGTTTTAGGATAATTGTTGTGAGGCTTACTAGCACCCAGAGGAATGATTGGCAGGAAAATCCAGCAACTTTGTTTAGTAATAGCAACCAGCAGCATTGATTTGGAGAGCAGCTATTAAATAAAAATCCACAGTTGTTTGTTGTTTATTGGCTTAGGCAAAGCTGTGCTGCAATGCCACACTGATAATAAAATGCTGAATGTGGTTTCTGGAATGTATATGGAGATGTATCTGGGTGAACCTTCAAAGATAGCTTGGTTCCCCTTGATATTCTAAAATTCAGGTTGATCCCACATCCATCCCTGAATGAAAGCAAGGGGCTGCAGAGTGATGTGTGTCTCCGAAAGCTAAAATGTTTCAGGAGGCAGATGCCTGTGAATAGCTCTGTATAAGCCTCTCAAAACAGAGATTAAGGATTTCTAAAAAACAGAGATAAAGCTAAGTAAGAAGTTTCTTAATGTAATGATAGCAACAAAGAACATGACTTGGCAATGCAGCATTTACAGTAAATAGTGTAATATTTAATGTATTTACAGCGTGGTAGTAATGTTGTTTTTTTCTTCCCCATAAGTCGTCATCACTTTGCATGGCTGGTGTTCATGCAGGCGTCGTATCAAATACTCTGGGTGGCCAAATTAACGTTGTAATCAGCAAAGGCATTCCATACTATGAGGGCTCCCTGGCTAACAATGTCACCTCAAAAATGTAAGTGTACCTTTTACATCCTCCTTATGTTTAGCACCTTAAGTTTTGGTAGTGCCTCTTCCCAGGAGTAAATTCAGCAAGTGGAGCTGTCTGTGAAATTCTCACAGTTCTGTGGTGTGATTGTTTTACCAGATTATTTTTTAACCTCTAAACCATAAAGATTAATTTTACCAACTCTAAAAGGAGCTTTTGTCTTCCAAAATACATATCATGACCATAAATTCCCAGTGATCTGTGCAAAAATAATAATTTGTGTAGGTTATTTTTTCTAATCACCAATTTAAATCCTGTAATTTTCTTTCAGGTAAAAGAGGGGAAAATTGGTATCTGAGGCAAGCAATATTTTTCACATAAAACTTAAAATTTCACAAGCTAGTGTACAGTGTTCTGTTTTTATTTTTGGCTCTGTGTATGAACAGAGAAGAACAGAGAAGGGAGAGTATTTATCTTGGGGGTGGGGAATTGAAAGACAGGGAAACATTTGATTTTTTTTTTCCCCTCTCCAGAGCTGTCATTTTAATCCAGCCTGAACTTGAGGAATAATGTGTTTAGCAGAGTAAACCTGTCTTTTATTTTTTTATTTTTTTATTTTTTACAAAACTTTAGGAAAAAAAAATATCCAGTAAATAATAACTGCTTTGTTTTGGTAATGCTGTCAATGTTTGAAACCTATAGACAAAGGTCACTTCCCTTGGTTGTCTTTGTGAAGTGAGGGCAACTACTGTTGTCCTGAGAGGCCAGAGGTTGGGTCAGGGAGCTCAGTCAGTGTGAGGAATGGCCCCCTGGTGTGTGTGGGCAGACTCACTCTGGGAAATGGTGAGATGAAACTTGAATAGTAAAGAACACAATCTTCGCAGTCTTGGTTGTTCTGGAAATATCAGTGTGGTGAAGATGGAGATTTTTGAGAGTTTGTATGCAGCGTTTTTGGAAATTCCAAAATGAATTCCACTTAATGATTGGCATTTCCATTGAAGCTGCATATGGAAATATATTATGCTGTAACTTGTCATTTTGTCTCAGAAATCCCAAGAATTAAGTGATCAGAGGAGGCTGGTTCTTGTTACTATGATAAAGTTCATTCAAAAGGGAAGTATTTTAATGAAGTTCCTGCATCTTGCTGCGTAGATGGCTCTTTGAAAGCCTGTTACATCAGTAGAATCCTTGGGCAAGCTTTCAGGTGAAAAGAGGTTTATACTACAACTTCATCATGAATTTTCTGTATTCAGGAACGTGTACATAGATTTTAGAGGCAAGCAGTCAGATGAGAAAAATAAATGGAAGGCAGTTTGTGTCAGTTTTTCTCAGTAGCACAAACCCCATCTTTTTGTTCTCTGCAGGGGACCATTATCTACAAGTCTCTTCACCTTTAAGACTAGCGGTAAGCACTGTCAATTTTATTACATAATCCTTTCATATAAATTGCTCCTTTCATATCAATTCTTTCCAATGTATTTCTTAGTTTTTGTTCTGGTTAGTGTAATATTTTGACTGGCTTCCTCAGTAGTGCAGACTTTCTAAAACCTGCTTTCTCAGTCCCACAGGGTGACTGTCCTGACAGTCTATACTTATCTATCTTTTAATATTTTCTCCTATTCAAAACCTTTCCTTAGTAAGCTCTGCTCATCTGCAAGAAGAGATTATTATTATTTATTTTTTTCCTCTGGTCTAATCTGCTTTAAAGTGACTTGACTCCCCCACCTTAAATGCACTGCTTAAAGCAGAGTTTGGCACTTGTGAGTTACTCTTTATTTATAACAACTGTGCACTACGGAGCTTTGTTCCATATTTAGTCCTTACAGCTTTCTTGTTGCCTCCTGAGAAACTTAGCATAAATTTCAAAATGATGACTGAGTTTTCTCCCTCACTTTTTAATTTTTTTTTTCTTTCCCCTGATTTCTTGCAACTGAATGCTGTGTGATAAATTACTTTTCTCCTGAGCTCTAGAAAGGCATTTCTTGTGCTTTGCTCTGTGTGTGTGCGCTGTGTTCCACCTTGGCTGCCATTCATTTGTTCCTGTAAACATGTTCCGTGTTGATGATTGGTATAACAGATGTTGCCCCATTTTAAAGCTTACTGCTTTGTATGTTTTTGCTTTCTGCCAATTGCCTCCTTTTCAAACAGAATAGCTGCAGTTTTCTAAATGGAAGTCACTTAATGTGCCATCTTTGAATGAGTGGTGGAAATACCATGAAGACAGTGGGCTGGTCTTAGTCTCTTAGCTGTTTTAGTAACAATACAAAGAATGCAACAAAAGCACTGGGACCTTGTTTAATCAAGAAAAAAGAAGGGGAGTCATGCATACATTCCCAGAAGTAAACAAACGCTTTTCCTAATATATTAATAAAAGTGATCCAAATGGGGAGATAAATGCAGGAATCTGATGGGCACAAGTGTTTGAAGGTGGAAACTTATATAATGAAGCAAAGATTGGAAAATGTAATTCACATCCAATGATCTCTCTCTTAGACCTTTAGAAAAGCTAGGAGAAGGAACGCCTGTCTAGTGACCTTATGGTTGGAGGATATGAAACATAGTGATCAGGGGAGCATTTCTTGTTTGTTTTTGTCTTTCAAAATGTGATCTGACAGGCTGTATAAAAGTTACTCAGTGGGCTGGGAATGTGAAGAGATGGGACAAAATGCCACCTGGCTTTACCACACAGCAGGTTGTGCAGGTTAAGATCCTTTTTTGATTACTAATTTTTCAGCGTGAGAAGTGCTGATCTGGACAAAAATGTGGAATTTTGGAGAAGCATTTAACAACTTATTGAACAAGCAAGAGATGTAGATTAAAATATATGTGTCTGAATGGGCTTGGAATTGGCTGAAGGAAAAAAGAGGGTTTTGTAGCGTGCTGTAAGGACAGTTATCTGATTATGGTAGTATTACCAGTGTGGTTTTTTCACAGTAGTTGATGTCATGACTTGGTACAAAATTGTGGTGTGTGTTAATACTAGAGATGTGGTCAGTGCAGAGGAAAATGGAACCATTGTACATGAAGACCTGGCTGCCTTGGTGATTTGAGTAACAGAAGCTAAGTGAAGAACCACAGAGCACATACAGTGTCAGTACACAGACTCCGCTGTATTTCTGCTTCACATTGACAGCTTCTTAGGTTGCAGTGACAGATGGAGGAAAAAATTCGAGTTTGAGTAAGTGCTCAAGTGATCTTGTGCTGCAGCAGGTGATGTACATCCAGCAGAGGCAACAAATGAGCAAATGGCTATCAGCCACAAAGATTTTTTTTTTTTTAAATATTATTTTTTTAAGCCATAAGAATGTAGGATGTAGGAAGGAACTTCTAGTAGGAGTGGTAACAGAACATACCGTTAACTTCAAGGATGCGTTTGAACTGAGGGGCAGAATTGTCACGTTGCTTCCTACATTCTTTGGAGTTTTATTTGAATTAACGTTATGATACTGAGGTAGGTTTGAAAACCAAAAGTTAAATAGGCTCCAAAAGGAGTGAGTGGCCAAGTAATCTCTTTCCCATTACTGCACCAACCACATGATAAACTCTTAAACCACAACAGTTCCCCCAGAGCTTCTCTAGTGCTCTGTGTGGAAGGTGATTGAGAGAATATCCACATTATTCTTGCACAAGTGTAAATCTTTCAATACTGAAGATGAGAAGTTTGGTTCCAGCATGACTGGAAGAATGCAGAAAACATTGTGGGGTTTTTTTTAGTAGCATTGTTACAGAATAAATTTAGATGGCAGTGTAATATTTGCATGGCAAGTAAGATCACTGTGTGGCTTGGAATTCTAAGTCCTCACCTTTTCCTTTGCTCAGGTTGCTATGGGACGCTGGGAATGGAATCGGGGGTAATCTCTGATTCCCAGATTACGGCTTCATCTATTCTTGAGTGGCCTGACCAAACAGGACGAGTGAACACTTGGAAACCTGAAAATGCCAGACTGAAAAGGCACGGGCCTCCTTGGGCTGCTTTGGACAGTGATGAACGTCAGTGGCTGCAGATAGACTTGAATAAAGAAAAGAGAATTACAGGTAAGTTACATGGATTTGGCTTTTAAGCAGCCTTCAGAAAGTTTGGTCACTAAAATTTTTCTTCCAGTGTTTAGTCTCAGGTAAAATCTGGATGTTATTGAATTACCATTACAACAAATTTGTTTCTGTGTTCTAGCAAATGAACCAAAGAGCCTAAAGATGAACAGGTGGAGTTTCATGGTAGAAAAAACCTCCTTGATCGGAATTTGTTCAAGTGTTTCCTGTGTTTATATCGGATCCTTGATACTTGCCTGTTCCTGCTGTTTTATTGAGGGTCCAAGTCCATATCCAGGCAGCTCAGTCCTCTGGTACCTCCAATATTGGGTGTATTAGGTTTCCAGGTTTCCCCTGCTGCCCTCTACAGCCATAGCAAATCCAGCAGCAGAGGTGGGAGTAGTTGCCATGCTCTGCAGTAAGCAGCTGGCAGCCTCCCCTGCATGCAGTGGTGCTTGAACTGCAATTCAGGGTTGCATGTTCAGAGGTAATCCTTGTTGGAGAGCGTGTTTGCAGTTTGACTTAAGTCAAATAAAGTACCTAATAGTAAAAATAAAGTGCCTTTTAGAATCCTGGGCTTTAAGATTTTCCCCAGACATCCCCTTTGATCAGTTTGGGTTTGTCTTGCTCTCAAGTGCCTGAGCTGGGCTCTGTGAATGCATCTGCATGCCCTGCTATGTATCAGCACCTGGGTTTCCTGTCATTAAACATCTCAGATTTACCTCGGTCCTACCTCCCTGGAGACTATTTGGATTTTACATTGGTCCTCCCATTCTTGTGCTAATAACCTTCTGCAAAACAGCTTTTCTGGGGAGTCTCCCCACAGCACTGCAGTGACTGCTTTAGGAAGCTGCAGTTCTTTCAGTGGTGCTTTTAGCTTGGCAATACAAAAGCAAGGAAGAAAAATGATACCTTTGCACATGGATAGGCCATTTCTATCAAGAAATGAGGGAGAAATGTAGATTAAGACATAAAAAAGTAAGTAAAATGAGAATTAAGTCACTGTAGGAGTTTCAGACCCTGACACCTTGGATAAACTTTTTGTAAGTGTAACTGGAGCAGTGGAAATTCTAATTATGAAACTCTGGGTTAAGAAGCTGATATATTTTTTTACAAATTGGTAGCAGTTTTTTTGTATAACTGGACACCTTCATTTTTATAGGTATTATAACTACTGGATCAACCTTAGCAGAGTACTACTATTATGTCTCATCCTACAGAATTTTATATAGTGATGATGCACAAAAGTGGACAGTATACAGAGAACCTGGCATTGATAAAGATAAGGTAAAAATACCATATACTTTCTGGGAATACTCTGTGGAGATTGTGCAATTGTAAGTAATAAGTATGACCAGCTTGACCAGTTGGTTTTGGTGGTTTTTTTAATTTAACTTTTCGGTGTGATATTGAATCATAAACAGTGTCTCTGCAGAAAGGAATCGGAAAAGGATAGAAGACTGAAACGCAGAGATGATTTTAACGATGATTTGGAAGTGATAATATTCTGGACAAGAAACTTCTATTGCCAGCAATAAGCACTCGCTTCCGGCAGATGGCAGCATCTCCTGGTGACCTGGGCTGTTTTGAAGAGATTCCCAAATCGCTGCTTTCTCTGAGCTTCACAATCTGGAGAACTGGAAAGGATTTCAAGTGCTAAACTGAATGATTCTATCTGTCTTGTTTTATTTCCAGTCCTCCTGATGCTGAAGTGAAAGGTGGAAGTATCTTTTTTTTGTTAAATTAAGAGGTTTCCAAACACTGAACACAATCGTAGTGGGAAACTTTTTTGAACTGATGTGATTTTATTGTAGAGACTGGTCCATCTCCTTGAGCCTACACAACTATCAAATTTCTAGTAAGAAGGCCTCAATAAATAACTAAAATTTAAAAATCCAGCATCTTTTGCTGTTTTTTGAGTGCCCTTCTCTGGCTGTAAAATACAATCTCAGCTAGCTGCACAGATGGAGGCTACATGTTTGGCTCTTGTTGACTGAGCTGCTTCCTTTCCTTGCAAGTTCTTGAAGCAAACAAAATGTGAAGCTTGAAGCTATAGGTTAACAGATCCTTTCTGCACTTTTTTATATCTTTAGGTACAATGTGCAAATGGTCAAACATACTCAAAGTGCCAGCTGTGAAAGAAAATACTTAGCACAAAAAAGGGACTGATATTGAGGCTTCAGAATATAACAGGTTTTCCCTTTGTCTGGCATAATCTCATTTGATACAGCTTTACTTCTGGTTGTATGTGCATGCAGTTTTCTCCCTCTGATTTTTACTTAGCTTAGGAGTTGCAGTTCCCTGTTCTGATTTTTTTTTTTCAATGTCTGAAAATTCTGTTCAGGAGACCAGAAAGTTTTCCAAGACTCCAAGACTTCTTGTGATCTTCTATGAAAAGAGCTTTTAGAGGTGCATTAGTGCTCAAGAAAAGTCCTTCTAGCATCGTTATATTAAAAAAATATATTAAAAAAAATGCTTGTGAGGGTGGTGAGACATTGGAACAAGTTGCCCAGAGAGACTGTGAATGTCCCAGTCCTTGGAAGCATTCAAGGTCAGGCTGGATGGGGCTCTGAGCAGCCTGCTCTAGAGGGAGGTGTCCCTGCCTATAGCAGGGAGTTGGAACTACATGATCTTAGAGGTCCCTTCCAATCCATTCTATGATTATAGCTGACACTAAGGATTCTTGTTGCCTTCATTCTTACATGCTCAACCTCTGAAACCAGAGTTGAAAACTGTCAGTGTTGAGAGAATCATAGACACAGAGGTGTTGATTTCTCTCATCTCCTGTGCCTTTGTTGCTGGGGTACCAAACTGAGCACTGGCCTTCCTTAGCAGGGGGAACTGGCACAACACCAGGCAAACCTTTTTCTGTTCTTAACTAAATTGACGTATTTGTTTGATCAGTTGGTGCTTTCAAACATAAAGACAGTCACTGACTAGGTAAGGACAAACCAAAACTGAACATTAAGTAGCAATATTAATGGGGGTTGTGTGTCTCCTAAGAGCAGGGATAGGCATGTTATGGAGGTCAGGGAGCTAAGATGCTGCTTAAAGGCTGCTGCGAGATTTTCTTGGTTTTGGCTTTTGAAAGGCCAGTCTCCTGCACTGTCTTTTTGTATATGGTGTACAAAACACCAAAGCACCTTCCTGCTTCTGTACAATTTGGATTGTGTTTACCTAGTAGTGCGAGTGAGCAGAAAAATCCTACATCTCCATAGCGTTTATTTTTCAGGTTTGTGCCAGTAAGTGCCATGACTGACTTCTGAATTACATCTTGAAGCATCAGTATCAATGCTTTGAAAATAGACATTGCTCTGTTACAGTCCCCTCTTTTGTGATGCGTTGCAGATTTGATGAGTTCTTTGTGTGTGAGACCCAGCAGTGAAGGATCAGCTTTAGCTCATTCTTTAGGCAATTTCTGCTCGCTTCTTATTGAAGAGTTTTTGACCCAGAGATTTCGAGTTGTTAATGTGTTTTGCTTTTTTTTGTTGTTGTTGTTGTTGCAAGTCATTGTAGACAGCAACCACTAGAGGACAGTGTGATTACATTAGACTTTAATTCTTCCTAATAGATGCCATACCCATTCACAGGACAGACCATTCTTTAGCTATTATGCAGTGTGAAGACTCTGATAATACTTACTTTCACATTATCACAACTGCTTGCTGTATTTGAAGAGCAAGTGCAAAACACTGAGAAAGAACTGAGTTAAAATTATTTTTATTGCCATACAAACTCAGCATTTGTGTAGCAACAGGGGTTGCCTGGGTCACATCAGTACACTGTTTCTTCTCTGTTTACCTTCCTCCTGTCTTTGGAGGAAGGCAGAGGGTACCAAGCATCAGTCACACACTGCATGCAGAAACAAAGCCAGTATTCCCTTCCAACCCCTACAATTCTGTGATTCTGTGATTCTGTGATTCCCATTGGTCTGCACACACACACCATTCATTTCTTCAGCAGGAGGCAGGGTGAGTGGGGATGGTCAGGCAGCAGCACTGTTCTGGGTATGAAATACTGTTAGCATTCCCTACAGCTTACTTTTGCTGTGTGAAATATCAAAATTGGTTTTAATTACTCAGTATTATATTTGTGTAACATAGTATTTGTCTTTTTTCTTCTTCTTTTTTCTTTCCTAGGTATTTCAAGGGAACACTGAATTGTACCAGGAAGTTCGCAATAATTTTATCCCACCTATTATTGCACGATTTGTTAGGATTAACCCCTTAAAATGGCACCAGAAAATTGCAATGAAAGTAGAACTGCTAGGATGTCAGTTCAGTATAGGTAAGGCAACTGAAAACTTTCCCATTCTGTGTGTAAACAGAGCAATTGAAAAAGTGTTTCAAGAGACACTAGTTGCTTGCTCTCCTGTTACTGATCCATAGCTTTTTTTGTTCATTATACAAAATGAACTGAAGTTTTATAACAAACTGTTCCAGCTCTTCTCTTGACGGGGAAACATGTAAAGCTAGCACTTCAACAAACAAACAAACAAAAAAACCAACCTCATTTCTAAATACTTTTCTCTTCAAGTCCGTGCTCCCAAAATCTCCATGCTGCCTCCCCCACCGCCTCAGGACAACACCAACAAGGTTGATGACATCAGTGAGGACTTCATCCATTCGGTGAAGACTTCGTTGCAGACAGATAAAACGACTTTCACACCTGAAATAAAAAACACCACAGTGACTCCAAGCGTAACCAAAGGTATCCATGCTTGAGCAGTAGAAATTTGGGAACTGCTTACAGTACTTTGCAATATATTAAATATGCTTTCTGAGTTTAATTTTGCTTGTCAGTTTTTATATACTGTAATAAAACATCAATCTTTTTAATACTTGCCAATGTATTAAAGATTCAGATGCTAAAAACGCTCAGTTGCATACAGCATGTGGAAACAAAACTAGTATTCTAAGGGATGTAAATATTATGTTGAAAACGAGTTTAACTTTTAATTACTTAAAGAGCTTTTCTCAAAAGGAGAAGTTGTAACTTGGACTTCCCTTCAGAGTTAGAAGTAACTTTGTCATTTTAATCTGATAATTGCTTAGGACAAGACACTTAGATATAGATAGTCTTCTGTTAATCAGTCCCATTGGCGTGAAATTTGAAATACACCCGGTGCCATCATGTTGTTTATTAAAGTTGTCAGAAAGAGAGCAAGAGCATGGCAAATGTAGGCATTGGTGAAGTGTCCTTTGGGAAGCAGCGGACAGAACATGCTCTCATGTCACACGTAAACCCAGATAGACAAGTAGTGATTGTTAGGATATTGTGCTATTTACTTCTTGTAAGAGGTTCAGACTTCAGTGGTTGCATACCCCTGGGCTCTTGGTATTCCATGTTAATGATAAAATACCATTTTCCTGTGAGAACCATGTATTTGTAGTGAAACAAAGCTATTTATTCTGTTGGAAAAGCTTTCAGAAATGTTGTGTACATGTAAAAGAGAGAAGACAATAATTGCTGTTTAAACTGTGTGAGCATCCAGCAGGGTAGCTTAGCAGGGGGACCCAGTGTGATAGATGCTGTACCTGAAAGCTACATGTTTTACCCAAGTAATTTTCAAAATAAGAACTGATATATGAGAAGCACTTCTGTCTGACACCACTTAATTTAATGGCTTTCAGATGTGGCGTTGGCAGCAGTTCTGGTTCCAGTGCTGGTGATGGTCTTCACTACGCTGATTCTTATCTTAGTTTGTGCGTGGCATTGGAGAAACCGGTAAATGAATGGATTAATGAAAGTACTTGAGTAGAATGTTGGTCTGGTGTGTGGGAATGAAGCACTCTGCATGTGTTGCTATGGGAACTACACGATCCGCACTTCTGGAAGGGCTTTTTTTCACTCTTCTCTTTATGAGAAAATGTTCATTTGGAGAGCAAGCACAATGGAAGTGCTTTTTGTAAATAGTTTCCTTTCAAGTGCTTTTTCTGAAAACTGATTTCTCCAGTAGCAGCAGACTGGTAGCAGCAGGCCGGGTTGCTGGGGCTTGGGCTGTGAGCTTGAGAAGCAGTTACAGCCGAGGTTGCTGAGCACGGATGCGCTTCTGGTAGGAAGACTGGCTAAAATACTCTGTCCTTTTCTCACAGCAAGAAAAAAACTGAGGGCACCTATGATCTACCTTACTGGGATCGTGCAGGTAACAACATGATCTTATGAAGTCCTTTACTTGGCGTTCTTAGTGCAATGTTTTCAAACTGTAGTGATGTTTTCCACCAGCAGAAGCTTCTGTAGTGCTGACTGGTGGAGATGGAGGGACAGAGAGCACAGAACTTGCTTGCTGATGAGACTTGGCTTTTTTGTTCTCTGCATTTTTATAAGACATGGAAAATATCTCCAGTTCCAGCGTACAGTGTCAGTCTTCTTTTTTAAGTAAAACAAGTTTAGAGCCTCTTAATTGCATGAAGAGGGGAAAAATCATTCATGAGGAAACTTGGTAAATGTAATAGTCTTTTATTTCTGGTACTTCTTTTGTGCTGGAAAAAAAACATTTCATCTTGGTATATGGAGCTTGTCAAGTTTCTTCTTCTCCATTGTCCTTGTAACAATGTGGGATTACTCGTATCCCAAGAATCCCCTTGTATTCCCTGGTATGTTTTCTGCCTTCCCATTCTTGTGCCTCATTAACTTCAGGTCAGACAATTCCACAGAGCTGCTCTTTGAAGGAGTCACACAAACTCTGGTGCTGCAGCTTAAAGAGCTGGTTTAGCTTTCACTGTCTGCATGACTGACTATGCTTCATTTTTCTGACCTTACGCTACAGAATAGCCACATCCCTGTCTTTGTTCTCTGGCAGTCTCATGTATGGCCTTGTTCATTAGAAAAGAAACCTGTTAATGAATTTATTTTTCTTTATTACATGTCACAGCATAGTTGCTTTAGAATGTTAAGTGTCAAAGTCTCCTGTATTCAAATGATTATGGTGAATACACTATATGTATTTTTTTTTCACGCTGATTTAAGTTTAAATGTTCAGTGCATGAGTCTGTTTTAAAAGGAGTACTGAAATTGGGCAGAATGCAATATTACAAAAATGTTGCTGCAGTTTTCTGTGGGACCTCTGTTTGTGCTCTCCCCACAGGCTTCCTCATACTTTTAACACTGTTCTGTGGTTTTAAGTCTGCTCGTTCTTGGACTTCTTTGCCTACAAGATGGTTTCTTACATCTAAAATAAAATGCATTCATGGACAGCGTAACCAGGATGGCTTTGGTTACTCAGTGAGAGGGATGGAATGACTGCAGCAAAGGCAGCCTTCTCTCCCAAGAGCTTTCATGACCACAGTCACTCCTTATCAGCCTTTCCGAAGTTAAAAAATACTGAGTTTTTGCAGATATTCACCAATTAGCTTCTTTTAAACAAAATGAGTGAGAAACATTAACAGTCCATTAATTCACATACTCCTGGGTTACAATGTTGTGTAAATACTTGATTTATAAATCGGCCTCGTTACAAAGTAAGACTCTGTAGCATTTTCTGTGTTGCATTCTGCAAACTTACACCTGTGCTGGGTAGGAGCAGCACTGTGATTAAGGGACACAAGGGGGGAAGTAGTTGCTCTGCCCCAGCACTGCAGCAGAACCTAATGACTGGTAACAGGCAGTTAACTCACGGCGTATGACATTTCAATAGCTTAACAATTAATTAGTATCTGTGCTTATCATTTTTATTTTTTTTTAACTGCGTGAAGGGTGGTGGAAAGGAATGAAGCAGTTTCTCCCTACCAAATCAGCAGAACATGAAGAAACTCCTGTACGCTACAGCAGCAGTGAAATTGGCCGCCTCAGACCAAGAGAAGTTCCAACAGTGCTGCAGACAGAATCTGCAGGTACTCTTTTGTTGTTTTCGCAGGCTATGTGATAAATACACAAAATGCCAAAAAATGGCAGAAATGTGACTGCATTTAATTATTTCGTGTTTACTTGGGGGAGGTGAAGGGAAATGAATAGAAATGAATGTGCTGATAAACACATATTAAATCGCAGACTTTTTCAGATCTGTTCTTTGAGTGAATCCCATGAAAGTATGCATTAATTGACTGGTGATGTGCTGGGGGTAGACACTTCTCCAGGTTACAGCAGTAACTGAAAGCTGCTCGTTTTAAATGCCATAATGAGTGCAGTTTCTTTAGCTGTGTTTACAAGCATTGAAAATAACTTCTCACATTATGCATAAATCTGATACGTGGCATTTGGTTCCCTACACTGACAGTCTGATTAAGCCATATGCTTGGTCTGGAAAATCAGTTACTGATAACAGCATGCGCCCTTTATGGTAAAACGGCCATTAGAGGAAGATGGCTGACTACCTTTGATTCTGTGCTGACGGTGCTGATGGCAGAAGTTTGCAGATGTACAGGAATTACAGCTTTACAGCATGCAGAAGTAACGATGTTCTCTTTTTGGGCGGTGGGCTGATTTTGGGTGAGCTTTTGTTTCTCAGATTATCTGTCAAACTGCAGTATCTCAGCTGCAGCTGGCTGTGTGCTGGCTCCCCTCTCAGAGGACAAACCCTCCATGCCGAAGACCACTTCTTATCCAGTACCAGACAGGATAATTCCACTCACTTTTAAGCTTTCAGGGAAGCACGTTTGAAAACACTTAGTTTAGAGCAGATATTCAACTTGAGCAATAGTAGCTCACAAGGGAAGAATGATAAACCTGAGCTATCAGGTGCTGTCACATAGACACATAGAGTTTATGCTCTATCTGTTGGGCGAAGATTACTTCTTTTTTTCCCCACAAAGCACCTCAGTACAACAGACAAAAACCAACCAGTACTTTGATCCAGGATAATACTCCTTGGGGTGTTGCTGACAGGATGTGTTGAATGTGTTGCTGCTGTAAGGAAAATATCCAGTAAGTGCATTTTTACTTTGTTTTGTTGGGGTTTGTAATACAGAGTATGCTCAGCCTCTGGTCGGCGGCATTGTCGGCTCGCTTCATCAGAGATCAACCTTCAAACCAGAGGAAGGAAAAGAAGCAAGTTATGCTGATTTGGACCCTTACAATTCACCTATACAAGAAGTTTATCATGCCTATGCTGAACCACTGCCTATAACTGGACCAGAATACGCAACTCCAATAGTCATGGACATGTCCAGTCATCCCAGCACACCTCTTGGCGTTCCTTCTATTTCCACCTTCAAAGCAGCAGGGAATCAAGCTCCTTCACTGGTGGGAACTTACAATAAGCTCTTGTCCAGGACAGACAGCGTGTCCTCAGCACAGGCACTGTATGACACACCAAAGGGACAGCTGGGGCCAGGCACTGCTGACGAGTTGGTGTACCAGGTACCGCAGAGCACAGCCCATTCCATCAGCAGTAAAGATGAACCAAGTTAGCTCATGTATAAGGTACATAAGGTAGGATGATGGCAAACACGGCTTGTTTTTAAAAGCCGGTTTCGTAAAGCTGACGGATTCATTTTTTAATCACACTGTTTTGATAACTGTTAATCTTAAGTAATACAGTGTTGAGCCAAAAGATGTATTATTGGAAATCTGGGAAACCAGTCATTCTGCCTTTTCTTAAGCTGCATTTATAATTGGGAGCTCTGTTGTTGTTTTTTTTTTCACTACTGTACAGTTATCTGTCAGGCATGACAGAAGGTCGCTTCAAGATTAGCTTCAGAAAGTCATAGATGTGAATGAAATTTGGAGAAACAACTGTTGAAAGTATGAAAGATGGTATTTTTTTTGCTAATGGTACTATTTCTGGGGAAAAATAATAATCCACAATCAAAACTTCAGACTTTCAAAAAGCTGTAGGCGCTGGCATGAGTTGCCCAGAGAGTGGATGGTGGATGCCCCATCTCTGGTGACATTTAAGGTCAGGTTAGAGGGGCTCTGAGCAACCTGATCGAGCTGTAGGTTCTCCTGTTCACTGCAGGGAGATGGACCAGATGAGTGATGAGGGTCCCTTCCACTGAAACAATTCTACTGTTCTACGATACATAGGTACTACAGCGTCTAAAATTCATTTTACCCTATAAAACGTGTGTACAGCCTTGAACTTCCATTAACTTCATGACATAAAAATAGTCATGATTGTAAATTATGTTAATTTTGGCTTTTGTTCACAGGACTGGGAATCATGAGCTATGTGTTCCTTAGAAGTTTCCTATCATTTCTGTTAGCCTTCTCAAACTAGAATTTGCTGTCTGTACAACCCATTTTCTTTTCTGCCTCATGTCTTAAGCCACTCAGCCTTTGTGTCCTGGTAGGGATGCAGCAGGTACAGTCTGAAGTCTTACAAGCAAATTACTTTGAAACTGCTTTCATTTATTCCCTGCTGAGTAAAGGCTGCTCTGACTGGTGTCTGCCTTCAGTTAAACTTCTGCAAGAAGCATGCAGGCATTCAAAGTGACTGAGATGTTCCCTCTCCCACAGCAGTATCTAGTGTTGTAGATTACGAGGTGAGCATATTCAAAGAAAGATATGTACATACTTTTGCGAGTGCTTGAAGAAGCACACAAATATTCTAAGGGTGCATAGTTTGTGTAAATACATGCATTTAGCACATATGGTACTTTTAGCACAATTGGAAATCTTTGGTCCTAGAGCTTTTCTTATGATTGTTTTTATTAAAGATCTTGGACTCTTTAATGCTTTTTACTGAGAACAATTGCTGTCCCAAAGAGTGTCATTTTAGAAGCATTTAATTGAATTTATATCTTTTGAATGTTCCAGTTTTCTCTGCAATGAAACATGGCAGTCAGTCTTCTACTGAAGATTGGGTAGACTAGTTTTATCTCAGTAATCACAAAACGAGAACCATTTGGATGTTGTATTTGCCACTTTTTTTTTCTTTAACCTTGTTAGAAACAAAGCACAGCTTTTTTATCTTAAGTAGTAGAAAAGAATTCTTAAATAGCTTTATTTTTATTGTAACAGCACTGGTGGGAGGATGCTGAATTAATTTATAAATGTGAAAATCCCTAGCTACACATTAGCCCAGTTTTATGGACTGTAATGGTTACCGTTTGCTTCTGTAACATAATTTGTCAGCTTTGGTGTTGCCCATGGGCCTGACACGAGGTGGCTCCCATCCCCATCGAAGCCAAAGTCATGTACAAGAGAACAGCTACTGCACACTTGTACTGAGCACGTGAGTCTTTTTGCAGAGGCTTTATATAACGCTGTGAACCAGCACTTCTCGTGGTCTATCCACCGCCTAGAACATTGCCACCTACACTCTGCTGCCTTAAAACTCAATTCTATATTGTTCTGATTGTAAGAATGGGAATGTTTTTTAGAATTGGGAGCCTAAGCTCTCAAGTGCTCTTGCCTCACAGCAGTTATAACTTTGACATTATGGCATTTTATTTGTAAGGGCTGAAAGGCTGGTTGGTTGCACCGAGCTGTGACATACGTATTCCAATTCACTTGAAGAAACTTTTGAACGTTTAGTCTTTGAAACAAAAATATCTGCGTGGATCACACCGATTTAAGTAATCCAGTAAAATTAATAAACAGTGTTGGAAATCTGCATTTTATTTTTATTGTAGGCCAGGTATAGCGTAACAATAGGTGCAACTGTAGGCTAAGGCAGTGTAGAGAGTGGGTTTTGTTCAAGCAGCCATGATGCAGTTTCATTATCTGAGCAGCATGAGTTAAGAATGGAGTTAGATCCTCTTTATGAAAGAAAACGGCCTCATGCTTTGCTCACTGCTTTCAACATTTACATTGTAAGTTGGAATTTCTCATAGTTGGGTTTAAAGTGTATGCTGCAAACTGTTAAACATCAACTCCCAGATGTAAACTGTGTGACAGACCTAAGAGTGATGTTCTCCCATGTACAATGCAAGCAGAGGTACAATTAATGGGTCTCATTTTTACATGTGAAGCTCTATGGATATAAAATGTATTTCAGCCTTCTTTGGCTTGATTATGTTCTTACCTCAGCATGTAGCGTAGTTGCTCAGTATCTGTATATGTTGCTAGAAATTAGACTGTATAAATAGTGAGGTTTTTTAATGTATGTTAAAAAGTATTTTAAATAAATTGTACATACCTAGTATGCTCAGTTTGTGTTTAACAACCTTTACTTTCATCTCTGTATCACTGCTAGTTTGTACTCCTTCTGGGGCTGTGACCTGCCCCCACAACAACATGGCACTGGCACCACAACAGTGCTCAGAGGAAAACTCCCCACCACATCACCGCCCATAGCAGCCAGCTCTGGCACTTACCTGAGCTCGTGTTGGGGCCCGAGGTTGCTGCTGATCTGAAAACCTCAAAACTGGTGTCAGTTTTCTGCATGTGAAAGGGAAAGAAGCACTGTTTGGCCCCACATGCAAGGACAGCACTGCATGTGAAAGTGGGAGAGGGAGTCCAGCCTCCATTCACATTTAACTGGCAGAAGCCTGGAACAGCTTTCAGCCATACAGCTGTCTGTGTGCTGAACGTACCTGGAATAACCGTGCAAACAACTCTATGGCCAAAGAACTGGAATTCCAATCTACCTAAATACAAACTCAACACAAAATAAATTACGTGAATTCTAAGCTTTTTTTTTTTTTTTTTTTTTTAAATCTTTTCTTGGTTAAAGTCACAGAGTCCAACACAGTCATTCTGCAATTGAAGAAGAAAGGAAAATCTGCAGTCACATTCCAGACTAACACAATGCCTTTCTCTAGTCACAGTAACCATAGAAAAAAGAATAAACATAAAAAAGAAGTAAGAGTACAGGTCTATTGTCATGGTGCTTTAAGATATCATAGGGAACAGTTGGTACCTGTGATGGCTGCAATGGTTACTGTGTAAAGGCAGGCTTTTCTTAGAAGAAATCAGGCTGCTACACAAAGACACCAAAACAGCAAATGCCAACTCTGTTCCACTCCCTTACCTTGATTAAGAGAGCTGGAAAGTGCTAAGCCCATGCAGCACTGAAACCATGCCTGAATCCAGACTGAAGCCTGAACCAAAAGTAAACCTACAAGGACACATGGGATTTATGGGGTCTTTGTTTGGTCTCACTCAGTCACTTTAAAATTGTTCCAAGTTTTTGAACTGAAAACACTTCTGCTCTTTTAAAGGGTTCATCGTAATTAGAGGTGTGGGGAAATCCAACACAAAGCGCTACCCTAGTGCAAAGCTTCTCCAGAATTTGCTGTAGTGTTCTCTTTCAGATATAAGAGCATATAACACACCCAAAAATGCAAACTCGTTTGTATATGTGACACAGGTATAACAGAATATATTTGGAATTCAGTCGGGGTTGCAATTGCAGAATTAAAAAGAAGGTTGTTCAGACACAGAAGATCCTTCAAACAAACATCTGCTTTTCTCTTCAGATTTTAGGAGGATGATTTCAGAACAAAACTCATAACAGGAAAAAGAAAAAAAAAAAGAAATCCCAGAGAAAATCCCTCAGCTGTGCCATATCACAAGGTAGCTTATCCCAGCACCTCCTGCCCAACAACTCAGAGCAACTGGAAGGAAAAACCTGTATGTTTCAGTAATGCCCAATCATCTCTCCACTGTAAGAGGTATTCCAGTCTCAGTTTATGCCGTAATCCAAACACTAGTTAATGTAGAAAGGTACCCAGAATACAATGGAGTTTGAAGCTCTCAGCCCACGGAACAGCATTTCAGCTACCATCCTTGCAAGTCATCTTACATCAGAAAGCGGACCTCACGTTACGGCTCTCACATCATTATGCAGCATCCTGTTTGGAGTCATAACTGGCACAATGAACACCATATAAATAAGCACGTACCATATCTCATACATGAATGTAAAGGGGAAACAAAATGACATCTAAACAAAATTTCAGTTCTAACAGCAGATGGTAACCAGCAACGTTTCAATAACATTTTCATGGGGAAAAAAAAAAAACCAACAAAACAACTTATGCTTTTATGCATTTTTATAGTATTTTCTTCAACCCAGTAGAGGAAGATGAAAACACCTACACAAAGAATTGCCTTACTGCATAAAACGAGGAAAATCATAGAATCATAGAATGGCTTGGGTTGAAAAGGACCACAGTGATCATCTGGTTTCAACCCCCCTGGTATGTGCAGGAACACCAACCACCAGCCCAGGCTGCCCAGAGCCACATCCAGCCTGGCCTCGATTCCTGCAGGGATAAAATCACTGATGATCAAACCAAACTTCTTCCATAAAACTACACCTTCCCTGGCAGCGCTCCCACACAAAACAGTGGCAGATACTAAATTTGTCAGCATCGAGGGACTGAAACCATTATTCACTATTCCAAAGTTTTAATGACTTCTGCATCTGTATCAGATTTGAAACTCGCACCATATTGAAAGCAGCAGCCACGTGATACCCAGTATGAGTAAAACTGCCTGCAAAAATCAGTTCCCACTGAGCCCACTTCAAAGACCACTGTGACTACAGCTATATTCATAATTTAAGCATTTACACTTATTTCCAAATTTGACTTTTTGTAAGGTATGTGTATGAGTGTGTGAGTTAGCATTAAATAGTCCCAAGAATATTCTCTGCGTAAGTCATGCCAACAGCCTTCCAATACCTATTTGTCTATTAACCATCGTTAATCTATGAACATGGGTTATATGACCCCACTGCCACTCAGTCACCAGTGCTGAAACATACTCCCACCACACACCATCACTGTGCTCACATCCACTGTGTGGTCTCTGGAAGTGTTAAGCAAGCATCAATAAATGTCAATGGGTGCCATTTTTCTACATGAAGGAATTCAGTGACACAGCTTTGCTTCTTCTGCACCCCCATGTCAGACACCATTCTGTCAAACTGCCCCTCTGCTGCCATCTGTCACACAGCAACAACATGTAAGTGAATATTGGTGGGATGGTTCTGCCTCTACTGCCATACAACCACCATCCGCCTCTGGTAGTGTAGGCCAACATAATGAAATTACTTTCAGAGCAGCCCTTGCAGTTGCACACAGTCAGTGTGGCTGTTCAGCCACTAACTTTGCCCCATGCTGCTCGTGATTTGAGATTCCCTGACGTTTCCCATCACCCATTCGTACGTAAGGTCCAAAATAAAGCTGTCACCTGACAACACTGAGAAACACAAATTGAAGAGAAGGGCTCAACACTCTGTCCTGCTTTCTGAACACAGAAGTTGAGGTTCTGCTTTCACAGCTCAGCACCCCAAACACCCCACCTGCCCAGCCTTACCTGCATGCAGCCGCCTGCCCAGAGCTCTCAGCCCCATGTTGCCCCGAGCTTCACAAGGAGCGCCTCTCACCTCCAGTATGGTTTTTTTTTCTCTCAAAAATGTAGGAGGTCAGCAATAGTCCTGCTGCTGGGAGCACAGGTGGGGTGTCAGGGAAGTTGGATGCAGGTGGCTGCAATTTATCTCTGAGAGGCAGCATTTGCCCCACTGCCCAGAGCTGCCTACTGACATATCCTGAGTTCCTCAGCATTTTGATCTGGTCAAACCTACCATGCAGGGCTGAAGGGGAACCCCATTTCTTCTCACTGCTGTCCCAATAAGAAAACAGGTAACCGCAGCCTTGTACAAAACCAGCATCAACCAAGTGCCTTCTCCCAGTACGTGAGCAAGCATTTGTACACTTAGCAGATGAAGCCTGAAGAACACGCTCACCAGACTGAAATACAAAAGACTTGCCTTTCTCACCAGTTCTCAAAGAAATGATGCTCGGTTTGCCAACAGAACGATACCTGAATAAAATCTGCCTGGGGAAAACTTGCCAAGATTTGGCGATGTTTACAGCTCTAATGTCAGTGAAACCAGTGGGGTGACGTGCAGAACGAAGGTCTCCCTGATCTCCCTCTGAGGAAAGCCTGCAGAAAAAGCTTGTTATAAACAGGACTGGCAGGGCACATTGAGCCATTCTGAAGCTCCTGCTCTGGTCAGCCATTCCATGATGCACAGCTGGGGGAAAAAAAGTTTCATATACACTTCACAGGTGGAAGAGCCACTTGATAGGGAGGTAATTCAGCACCAGCATCAGGCCAACAAGCCACCTGAAGCAGAAACGACCCAGACAGAGTGAAGGCAGCATTAAAACCACATGCTCAGGAAGTCCTGTTTGCTTGAGAGCTACTGGTCCGCCTCTTACAGAAGAGTCAGAGCCCAGGGTGCACAATGGGGGCAACTCTGTCAGTTCTGGTGTGCTCCTGAAACTAAAATTACATCCACCCTCTGGGAAGGGAACATTTTTGAATCAATAATTCTTGAATCAAAGTCATTCTCAAACACAATCTCTTAGATTACTTAGATCACACTTAAAATTACACCTGACACATTTATACTTCATTTCTTTCTACCACACAATTGATATCACTTAATTTGGTGGATATGAGAATTCCTGACAGAACAGGTAAGCTTCAAGGCAAATAAAATGCAGCCTATTTACTTACACCACGTGGGACATTCCATTTCAATCAAAATCCCAACAAAGCCAAAAGCTATGACAGTGCCTAACAGGCTGGTGTCTTCTGAAGTTATGCACCCTCACCTTCTCTCCCACTCTGTGATTTATCTTTACATCCCACTTAGGCCACCTAAGCGAGCTCTGACACACGCTAAGTTGTGCAGACATCCCAGCAGCGTACCCTGCATTCAGCATCATGCCCCCACAGAGCTCTCAAACGCCTTCCGGACGGCCCTCCCTCCCCTCAGACATCCTAGTAGCAGCCAGCAGAAGCCAGCCCACACAGGACTGCCACCTCCTCACACCACCCTGCCACCCACAAGGATGAAGTACTGCCAACGCCGAGCGCTAAATCCTGCCTGTCCCCTGCTGCTGTGCCGGATGCCTCGGCACACCCGCCGGGGAGGGCTGTTATGAGCTGCAGATGTTATTATTATTGTCCTGAGCTGCTGCGATGTCTCTCCGCACTGCCAAATAGCAGCTGCTCCATTGTACCTCAGCAGCAGCAACAGCAGCTCAGTACACGACCCCCAAAGGCTAACTTGTGACAACCGGGGCTATGGGCAGGGTTGGATGCTACTTCCTTCCCTTCTCCTTTAAACCACTCCATCTTTCTGTTCTTTTTACAGTGCTTTCAGGTTCACTGTCAATAATAACATAGTCTGAGGAAAGCCCAGCGCTTCACATAAATTATTAGAGAAAGCTCTGGAATGCTTGACCAAACCTTCAGACCCAAATCCCTCAGTATTGTGACGGAGCTGTTAATGGGACAGCTTCTCATTACACAAAAGAATCCTCACAGGGAAAAAGGCAAATAATTTGGGATAGCTGAGCCTTCTTTCACAAATTATTTGTTAATGGCTTCAGATATGAAGGCATGGCTTCAGGCTCTTCAATGCACAGATGTAATGAGTGGCAGCGTAGCTGAATGACCATTTTCCACCTGGTCTCACACAGCACGTTTGTCCAGAGTACATACAACATGCTCTGTGGGCACCCGAGTCTTTTCATTACAGCTGCTTCTGATTTCTTACACAATGCTTCTGATCTGGACCAAAACATTTCAAGCAGTTTCTTGTGAGCTACCAATTCTGAAGGAGAAAGACACTCCCAGAAACAACCAAGCAAGATGTTTCCAATATGAGACAGGTGCTGAAGATGTTCAGTTTAAAAGCTTAGCCAGCTTCCCTGGTCACCTTGCTGAATGCCCACCAGCCCGGGACCCAGCTGCCAATTCCAACACTCCCAGGACTCCAGGACACAGCCTTGCAGTAGGAAGCCTAGCAGTCTAATCCTGGGCCCAAGAAAGACTTCATAATTGAACAGCTTCTCCTGCAGTAACAGAAACAATCATCTCTCAGGATTACTACATCTTATAGGAGCCAGAAAAAGTAAAAAGCATTTGACAGCTTCTGCTTTTTGATGATTCCCAACTGATATGCAACTCGGAGGTTGGTGGCCCTGCCTGTGACAGGAGGTTGGAGCTTGATGATGCTCAGGGTCCATTCTAACCCAAGCCATGCTATGATTCTATGAACTTGCAAGGAAATTACCTTTTGATATCATTTATTATTGCCTCTACCCACACTGGACCATAATTAGCCTCATAGTCCTTTTCCTCTTCCAGTCAGCTGCATAGGGAAAGGAAGACAACTTTCTCACACACACATGAAATTTAAGCAGAAGCCAAACGAGACCCAGTGCTTTCTTTGCCTGGTTTCCCATAGCCTGGGCGGGGGGGAGGGTAGGAGAGCAGGACACAGAGCAAACAGAAGCAGCTCAGCTTTTTTCTCAGACTAACTTTCTCCCACCATACTGCTGTCAAGGAAGACAGCACCACCTGATCAGTGAAGCAGCTGCTTTCTCCTACGTCAGACCAAAACTTAAATCCAAACTGAAATGCAGTCCTCTCTGCATATTATCTGATTTTCCAAGCCCTCCCTTTCCTGAAGTGCTTTCCCTGTCTTTACCCTGCCATCAGTTTGGTTCCTCAGAAAAAGGAAATGATTTTTAACACTGTAATGCATCATTAAAACACATGGTGCTCCATCCATTTACTATTACTAGGAATCTCCATGCAACAGAGCTGTTTATACAAAACAGATTCAACATGTAAATAATTTTTCCAGACTCGATAGGTCTGCGATCGTGCTCATCTGTTTCACATGAAGACTCCATCCTTTCATTTCCAGATGAGATAAGCAAATATCTGTGTTTAGAGAGAAAAACGGACCATGGCAAACAGATCCTGGATGTACGTGTGTGAAATGGCAAAGCTGAAAAAGTCTTGGAAAAATCTGTATCTGAAGTACTCCTGAAATGTCCTGTAATTCCTACTTCTGTTTTACGCCTCCCTCTATGGATATAGATACCACTCATGAAATCCAGTCCTAAAGAGAGTTAGCAACCAAAAGCAGCACGAAAATTCCTGACATTGAAACACAGCTCTCTCTATTGCCCCTCTGCAATTTCAAAATGAGATTTAAAAATTGCATATGAGGCTTTTAAAATAGTGGGATCTTTCCACCCCCAAATATTTTTGCCAGAGTTACAGCTGAGCTGCAGAACTTCAGGAGATGCTTTCCTGTGTAACTGTTACCTTCTACAATACAAATTAAAACATTTATGTTAAAGACAAAACAGGAACTTACATCCCATTTAGCTCACCTGTTTTAGTCCATGCATACCATATAAATTTAGATTATGTATACCACCAGGAATTCTTTGCCTATTCCCCAGTTAGTAAACATCCTCAGAAGTAAAAGCTGGCAATAAATAGTCTCTTCCTCTGCTCCAGGAACACATGGGGAAAAATAACACACCAGAACACCACTTATTACTATACTGAACATTTATGATATCATTTATTTGGGTCCAGCAAACTGTGCAGCTTGCTGTAGGAGAGTTGTTCTGCCAGGATGTTGGACTCCATCTCTGGAGGTCCCTTCCAGCCCCTACAATTCTGTGATACTGTGATTTGGCCCTGTTTCTGATAGACTACTTTCTTTTTCAGGAAAGAAACAAGCATATTTGCCTGTTGCTTTAAGTAGTAGTGAGAAAAGCATGACTATTTTCCTTTGAAAGCAAAAATCTACATACCTTGGGTATTATGCTGTTTTCTGAAGCACTGGCATCTGCAGAAAAAGGCTTCAAACAACTTAATGATTTTGCTATGCCAAAATGTTACAGATCATGGCAGTAAGTCTTGAGTGGCTTAGCAATGGAGCATTCACAGCGGTGCTGTTCATTTACACATAACAGGTGCAGCTCTTAGGTTCATTCAGCAACCTTAAACCAGGATGTTTACGCATTGAATCAGTAAGTTCACAAATGCTACCATCTCACAGAAAAAGGTTCACTTACTTCTGGTTATACTGCACAAAAAGCAGGGTAGGGAGGGTACTAAAACTTTATTTTCTGTCTTTTTGAGCAAGGCAGATTCCATCCAAACATATCTGCTGCAAGTACTTCATCAAAGCTGCCATCCCCATCGTTGTGGACCAGGCAGTACTTCCCAAAATGACAGGACGCTCTGCAGAGCTGTTCAGAGTAACAGAATCACAGAATGGGTTGGAAGGGACCTCAAGGATCATGAATCTCCAACTCCCCTGCCACATTCAGGACCACCAACCTCCCCATTTAATACTAGACAAACTAGTGACTTCCTGAATTCAAGTAGCAGCTGCCAAGGACACCGCTCAGAGGATTCACTAAAGATGGAAGACGTGTTTAAAGTAGTGGTAAGGTGAAAAAGAACTTTCATTAACCTCCAGAATAACAGAGGAAGACTGGTTTGAAGACTGGTTTCCTTGAGGAGAACTTGAAAGATATCACGTTTCAAGAGAAGAGCCAGGTTCTTGCACCAACCTCTGGGAGATAACAGACTTATCACCAATGCTGCTTGCGAGACTGCATTTTCTAAATACTCTTTCTTTAATGTAGACACTCAATCACTGGAATGCATACCTCATTATTCAGTTTCAGTTTAGTCACATTTTTACCAGATACTCCATAAAGAAACAGAACTAATGGCAATTGTGCTGTGGCTTAAGCACCCAGATGACATATCGTTTCTCAGAGGATTAAAAAAACAGAAGCAAGGAAAGGGAGAAAAAAAAACAAAACAAAAAACAAAACACAGAGAGAGAAAAGGGGGGGGGAAGGGGGGGAAGCATTAAAAAGAAAAAAAGAAGAAACAGAGTCCTGTGGTCTGTTTGGAGCTATAAGTCCTGATTCAGCTTTGTCAGCAACACCAACAGAGCCTTCCAGAGGGCTGTACGGGATTAAATTTTCAAAAGCAACTAAGAAGGTTCAGGAGCATGTCTCATTGTTAAAAGTGATTTAGAATAATGAGCTTAAGCATTGCTAAATGTACTGCTTTTGTGCCCTGTCTTGTCCAGTCCAGTCAGGGATAGGGCTCTCCCAAGCCCCTGGCAGGATTAGATGCAGTGGTTTGAAATCCTGGAACCCTGTTTTCACAGCTTTCTGATGAAGGGGACTGGACCCGACCAGGATGAACAGAACAAGATGTGTGTTAACCCAGAAAATCAGCATAAGACATTGGTGGAGCAAGCTTGTAATGACAGGCCAGGCTATGAACCAGGGCAGCATGGTTTTCTGCTGCTCATGGCACAATTAAGAAGCAGACATTGAAAGAAACAGTGCATTCTGATTCACCAGAGTCTATCTGCCTAAGTTCCATGTCCTAAGAGCTGCACACATTTTTAAAGACAGACATGGGCATCTTTAACAGCAAACCAGACTTGACAGAATCACACAGCTTCCCTATGCCACACTCTCTTCTCTTGCTCTAGTCTTTGTTTTCTTCCTTATCTCAGTGGCGTGGGCTTTTTGGTGGAGAAGAGGGTAAGGCACACAGTACTTATCAAAGAAATTCATTAAGAGTGTTTTATTCTATTTCCACTTATGCCAGGGAAAAATCATTTTTAAGAACTCATAGGTGGTATGCTATTCTTGACTTAAATTCTTCTGCGTCATTCCTGCATTCTGGAAATTGCTTCAAAGTATCTGAAATTTTGAACATGGAAAACAAAAATGGTCTCTTCACCAGCTACAGCATTGATTTCCTGAAAATGAAGTTGTCAGATTTTCTGATGGTTTATGTTTACTACTGACTTTGAGCTTCTGCACCACAGAAATGGGGACTTGAGTGGGGAACAGACATTTCATGTCACTGAGAGTCAGCGTCTTGCACAGAAGGCTTCAGTAGGCAGGCTGCATTAGCTACATGGTTCTGCTGAAATGGTTAGCACTGAAGGAGCCTTTACTTTAAGCTATTAAACCACTTTTTTTTTTTTTTTTTAATATAAATTGATGTTTTCACATCCTCTATCTAGCTCTGTGGGCTAGCCTTGGTACTCATATAAAACCAACACAACAAAGGGTTTAAACACACTCCATGTTTTTAAAACACGACCTGTATTCTATTGTAAGTACTGAACTGTGATGATTATCCTACACTAATACACAAATGAATGGTCTGCTTTTCCAGGATAGTGGAAAAAGCTTTGTACATCCTGTGCCAAGCCAATCAGCCCATGCAAGTGGCCAACAAGGGATCTTAAGCATTAGGTTCTACCAGCTCAAGCACTTTGTTGGACCAAGATCTCACTTTTTACCGACCCAAAGCTGCATTTTAGTCAATAGAAATACAGTAGCAACAAAGGGCTAAGTAAGAAATGAGTATAGACCCTGACTTCTGGATAAACAGTAGTACCACATAGTTTTGCTGTCCTTGCAATTCCAAACCACTGTGCTATCTGTTGTTTGAAACTCATCTCAATATAAGTTTCCTAAGAAACAAATTTAGGAGCATAAATGCATTAATAATAATGCAGCCTTGCTTAAGTTTGGGTTTGGATGATGAATAAGCTCTGTCCCTCAATTTGCTTACATTCACCAAACCTGTTACTAAAGCAAATCCAGAGCATTGGGGAAAGAATGAAAGATGCTGCCCATTCTTCATTCACAGCACATATTTGCCTTCACTGAGCAATCCAGAGAACATCAGCGTCTCTGAAAATACGTTTTCTTTCTTCTCAGCTTTAAGTGGATGGCAGTTATGATAAAACCTGTCAGGGTTGCTGCTGCACCACAAACCAAATAGGCAATTCCCAGGAATGGGTTACTCCCTCCACTCCATACCATGGTTGAAAGAATCACGTATTTCTTCCCCTTGAATTTGGTAACAGGAAAGTCTGACAGAAGGATGTTAAGGATTCATTAACAAAGTTTACATTACCTCCAGGAGAAAATGTAGTACTCAAAATCCTTCCCAAGACACAGAGGAGACAGGAGATTCTGTACTTGCTGCAAAAATTCCTTTAAGTGACCTGAGAAGTCTCTGCTATCTTAACCAGAAAACAAAAACCAAACAAAAACAAACAAAAAAACCCACCCAACAACAACAACAACAAAAACATCAGAAGCAGTTCCAAGTTATTTTGGATACAGTCTCAGTGTAATTCAGGAAATTCTAGGATTTTTTACTAAGAATTTCAGATTCATACTGTATGTAATGGCTACTGGGCTAACTGGATATGACCCATAATATTTTTAAGCAGCAAACAAAACTCACTTGAAAGTGAACCATTTGGGAAACTTACCGTGATGACACTCTACATATCCTCTGTGAGGGATGCTGCTCACCTTTAATGTAATATGCTCTCTACCCACATGGAGCCTTTCAGTGGAGCTACAATGTTTAAAATCCTAACTGCTTTTGTTCAGATTGAAGAGAAACTTACAGTCACCGTAATTCCTGTGAACGAAATGAGGCCTTTAGTCAGCAAATTTCACACTGTTTGGTGTGTGAGCACTTCCTATCAGCCCACGGCTGAAATCCACCAGAGGGCTCTGCTGGTACAGGCATCCCGCACAGCTCTCACTGGCAGGGTTACCCCTGGCACGTCTGTGCCCCAGTCATGGTGACTGCACAGCTGACCAGGCAAATACTGAACGTTTTAGCCACCTCTTCAGATTTCCATCTTTCAGGTTTATCCTCTCTGTAAAACCCACTACCTCCCCGCAGAAATCAAATCCAAAGCTGGGTGCTGCCATGAGCAACAAGTCTTAGTTTCATCTACACAGGCTAGAGAGACTCCACCCTAACAGCCATCACCCTTACAGTCAGGTCTTTTCATGATGATTTAGTTTGGAGTGTTTCACTTGTTTTCTTTGCCATTTTACTATAGAAATCCCATCCACATTGCAACCACCTAATAGTTAAGGATTCCCTTGGATAATATGAAAGGATACTGTAGGAAATATGGAAAGTATAATTCCCTGCTGGGAGGCCATCAGTAAACTGCCCTTTCCGGCTGATACGACGATAAAGATTTTTGAATGTAGCAAAGGCTGATACTCGCATCCAGATAATGAGGTCATCATTTATATATCCATTATTATTTTCATCTTCCTCATCTAACAAATACACTGGTTTATGCCAGTAAGGAGGTCTTGCTGTTCCTATGAAAAAGAAAGAAAAACAAAACAGGGAAGACATACTGTCAGGAAAAACAGGGGTCAATTACTAACTTCTTTGTCTGCTCACAACTAACACAGAATATGAGAAAAGGAAGAGAGACAAGACTGTCCATTACCACAAAATCATATGTTTGGTAACACTTAGATTCCATGGATCTCAACTCAAACATGAATAAACAGCCTATGATATTTAGAATTCGCTATATGAAAATTACTTAGATAACTCATTCTCCCTGACGCAGGAAGATGTATCATACCTATTGTATCCAGCACAGCAATGTCCTGATCCAGAACATGGTGCTTTTAGTCCTACTTCAATATCACAGAATTGTAGGGGCTGGAACAGACCTCCAGAGATCATCGAGTTCAACCTCCTGCAAAGCAGCCCCCCTACAGCAGGCTGCACAGGTAAGTGTCCAGGCAGGTCTTAAATATTCCCAGAGGACAATCCACAACCCTCCCTGGGCAGCCTGTAATATGGCTTAACCTAAACAAGGAGATAGCCCTAGCAAACAATTGTTGGAAATAACTACTTAAGACATAAGTCTCACTTGGCTCACAATTACCTATGGATCTGCAAAGGCAAGAAGAAGGGAAACATGACGTGCACTTTTCCTTCTTAGATGTTTTCAGTAGAAAATATTGAGACTGCATCCTTGCCTTCTCTGGACAGATTAACTGTTTCTTACAAAACCACTTTCTCCCTGTTTTGATGGTCAGTGGAAAAATAAAGGACCAATTTGGCTAACTCTGGCTTTTGCTCTCATTCGCCCTCCAATACTGCTACTACTGGCTATTTCTCATAGGGGCAATTCCCTTTTCAGAATGGGAAAACTCTGCACAAAGGGAGGGAGAGAGGGAAGGTGATAGCCACTGAAAAGTAAGGAATGCTAGTAGAGCCATTCTTACCTGCAAATGCAGTAGAGAGATTGTGCGATTCTGGATTGCGGAATTTCACGTGTTTATCTGTCCACCAACTGTTTCCAGTCCTCAGCAGCGGTACTTGAATAACAGATGAGTTAAAATTGTAAAAAAGATCAATAGTATCTGGAGGGAATACAAGAGGCAACACATCTGAGTGAAAGACAGTTGTTCCAATGACCAGCACGACTAACAAAACAAACACTACGAAACACCTTTCAACTGAACAGAAAAAATAATAAACATAGAATGACTACAGTTGGAAACGACCTCAAAGATCATTTGGTTCCAACTCTCTCTTCTCACTACATCTCCAGCTGTTTGTTATTAGCTTATTAGCAGGGCTTGCAGTTTGCTCAGCTCTTCGTTTACTCAGCTATTCCCTTATCTGCTAGCTTGGGTTAAAAACTGTTCTTATGGCAGGAAATAAGCCTCTGTTACAGCAGAGGGATAGAACTGAGCAAGCAGAATGGCAATTCAGACATCACCTGCTTCTCCCACACCACCAGCCACTGGCTCCACACTGTGTACTAAGGACTGATATAAAGGCAGGCTCTGAAAGATTTACCCTTAGCATTTTAAATTCTTATTATCCCTAACTCTGCAGAATTCTGTTCCAGTAGCCAGGACTTCTGATCCACATGGGCTACAGAGTCAGCTCCGCTGGCCTAGGTCTGAGCCCCGCCTAGTAGCTCAGATTTCCAGAGGACCAGGTGTGCACACAGGTGAAAATCAAATGGATCTGGAATTTACTACAGCTGCACTTCACAAGTCCACTGGTGTAGGTGGTTCAGCTACTTGCAGGTAGCTGCTGCACTGCCAAAAACAGATGGGGGGAACATAAAAAGGGATGAATGGGTGGAAAGAGAAGTCCATAGAAGTGTTTTTGCCTTCCTTCTACCCACAGAAATCCAATCTGAAACCTAGTCTTTGTGGCCAGGAGCTGCCTTCTAGATTTCAATCTGAACGTGTTAATAGGCAGATTATGCCCTCCAGGAAACCGTATACAAGATCAAACCAATTCATGTAAGACTATGGATGCTTCCAGCATTCAAAGAACAGAATGCAAACATGCAGATCCGAAGGTCTGAACCAATGTCAAGAGCACACTGCTTCTTTCTAAGCATACTGCTGCAGGAAGGTAGAATTTGAGTTCTCCTGATGTTTTAGCAGGGAAGTATGCTGTATCTATTGTGTATACCATTGTTTCCTGTTTCATCAAGACTCAGTTCCCCAGGCCTGTTACAGAGTCACATTGAAGAGTGAAGGAAGCAGAGCACACATTCACCACAATACCAGAGTCAAACAAGACTTCTTGTGGAAGAACAACAGTTACCTTGCAATATCAGGACTCAGCTGGATTGGGACAACATCACAGTCTAAAGTTGAAATTAGTAAAACAGACACAGAAAGTACTTACCATTGAACAAGCTGTTGGCAATAGCACCACACGGAGCCATTGGTGTTCCATTTTGGTAAGCAGCGAAGGGCGCACAGTACGAGTTCTGAACCTGCAGAACGATCAGACAAAAAACTGTGAGGTTTTCATTTGCTGGTTTCCTCGCACTCCTTCTTCTGAAAAGTCAATGAATAACGAGGTCTCCAGTCCCTTCTGGTCACATTCAAGAAACATTCAGATGAACGAGTCTGTAGCGGAGGAACAGCTTCCATATCACAGTAAGCAAACTTAACGTCATCTCCAAATTTTTACTGCTGCCCAGCAAACTCCAGATCACAAAAAGTCATTTGGGGATCTGCTGCTGTAACATAGCTGCAACTAAATGTATTCCAATCCAGTCCTGACTTACCTTGCAATATCTTATTTTTCTTTCTTTATAATTTTGACCTGCAGTGCTTCAATGACGTAGAACAGCAGATAGAATTAGTGATATTACTTCAGCATGGGGAAATCTTCATGTATGAATGCACGGCGTAAAAACCAAAAACCCATCTTCAATGGGTTTTCAAAAACCCCTCTTCTCTGCCCCAGCTCATGAGAAACTGCAAGTCCTCCAGTTATAGCACAGAAACATTTTCAAATAGCTTGGATAAGCTTTGTATTGATTGGCATAAAAGCTGACCAGAAACCTGTAGAAACTGTTGCATGGAGAACATGTCTTGAGAGTTATAAGAAATATTTAATAAGAACAACAGATTATTACAGTACAATCATCATATCTGTTGACAGGACAGTGCACAGAAATGCTACTTCCAAGCAAAAAAACCCCACATTTTCTATTTACAATTTTAAAAACCTCTGTTAACATAATCACTGCAGTCTCCAATTTCCTTGTGCATGCATTGCTGCAAGGGATGCTGTCTGGCCTCCTATTCAAATTTCTAAATTGCATATTTCAGAATGCTACATGATGACCTATTTCACCATGTACCCTTTCCAGCTTCTTGTCCATCTCCAAAGCCAGATGTCATAATGAAAGACTTCGCACAACTTAATTCCCTAATCTTACAATAAAACAACAGATAAAAAAGATTTTTGGCTAAGACAACTAGAAGGAAGACTGGAAGGAAATGTTTTCTGTAAATTTATTTGTAAAAGATAGCATATGTTTAATCCTATGCTAATCATAATCATTCTAAGATCAGGTTTGGAAACCACAACATTGGACTGATACCTGTTTATATACTTACCTTTAACAATCATAAAAGCAGAGACTAAACAGTGAAAATCTGAACCTTCCTATCATTTCCCAGAGTCATCTTAAAACACTTACAGTTATGCTTAGTTAGATCTCCATATAGTCAGACACACCTGGTAAAAATACTGATCTCATAATAGAAATAATAATAAATATAATATAATATAATAATAAAAAAATAATGATCTCATAATAGAAAGAAAAAAACCTTACATCTACATTTCGACCCAACAATTGTTCATCACTTCTTGATAGCACGTATCGACGGTGATTTTGATAGAAGTTTTGCAGGCCATAGTACATAAAGACATCACCCTAGAATTCAAGAATACCACTCTTCAATAAGGTGAGCTCAAGTAGACAAAAAGTCCTATTAACTACTGAAAAAGAGAGTGAAAGAGAGAATAATTCATACTCACTTCTTGGTAACTACATTCTAACTAATTACTCCAGCAGATGTCATCTATTATCTATTCTTTACCCTTTTAGTTGAAAGCTTTTGTATTTGGCATGAAATTAAACACACTTTAAAACACAAAATGAAACCTAAAATGAAAAGGCATCATTAGTATTTTACTCAAGATGGTAATAACTGGTCCTGAAACTGCAGTGGGTATGAATTATTGAATGGAGTCGGACGCCCATTTTCTACAAAAGGAAGATGCCGAAACAACTTCAAAAGAGAGCCACCAGCCTTAATTCCTGCAGATTTTTAAAAAAATAAGACTGCCTCTACTCAATTATCTAAGTCCTTTGGAAAGCTTAGTCCTGTAATTAAACAGAGAATGTTAAGCAGGCAAATATAAGCAACAAAGAGGTTTAGTAATCTATTCAAAAACCATTATCCAATTAAATAAACTTCTGATGTCAAATGTAACTGTATCTGAAGGATTACGCAGAGAATGTTAGCAACTTCTTTAACACTGAAGCAACATAAAGCAACTTTATAATTTAATCACACTATAATATGAAGGGCTCATCTATGCAGTACTAAGTGTAAGATCCCCTTCTGAAGAATAAGGCACTTTAGCAGCCTTACAACACAACCAGCAGTTCAAGACAGGAAATGAAGGATACTTCTCCCAAATGAAATTGCAGAATGCCACTGCTAGACTTGAATTGTTTCGAGGACCCTGGAGATCAACACTGTAATCCCTGTCAAAAGGACTGCAATGGTTTACTTATGACAAGTGGTCAAAGTTTCAGATTTCTTTCTCATTTAAGAGTTTAGCAGTACAGTAACAACTCCAGGCCAAGGGCTAGAGTTCTCTACTGACTCAGAGGGAGAAATCACCTCCATAGACAAACACCACTCCCTCCATCCCCAATTCCTCCTTGAAGATCTCCCGTCCAAGGGCAGAGGGATCCTGATCTGGATTATTTTTAAACACAAGCCCCAAACCAATAGCAAATGCAAAATAGTAAAATTCTGAGTATTTCATGTCCCTAAAAGCAAAAAGAAAATTCAGACAGGTGCTCTACAGAAGAAATTTAGCATATTTTATCATTCATGGACATAGCTATCAGGAAGTACTAATCAACTTGGCTGGTTTCTGATATCCACTTACCAGCATATCTTCTGCTAGTGTGAAATTAATAGAACAGAGGCATTCACTGTTCCAATTAGAGGAATTTTCACGAAGTTTTGAACAATTTGAGCATTTATCTGTATAATCAACCTGTCAGAGAAGTGAACAAGCAGAGACGTTGCATTAGAGGACATGAACACAGGAAAAGATTAGTGTTTTAGCTACAAGACCTCTCAGGGCAGTTCTAAGTGATCCTGGATTATAACAAAACTGTTCAAATCAACAGAGATATAGAGAATCAGGACTTGATCTCAATGGAACATTCACAAATTTTATCCCTACTTAAAAGCTGCTTTAGAGTTTTCTGATTGCTGCAGAACCTCCAAATTTGCTCCTTGGCAAAGGAGTGCTGACAGACAAACACCTTTGCAGCTTGGTCTGGCTTTCCAAGTAAAGTAAAAAGTAAACTTTCCAAGTAAAGACAAAAGCCCACATGAATTATGGTTCACATCAATAGTCTGGATGCAGTGCCTGAGAAATGGCTCCAACCAGGAGCATGTTAACAGCAGCAGGTTTAACCAATTCTGCTTCCAAGAAACAGCATTCAAACATCAGGGCTCCCTGCACTTTAATATTTTGCCCAAGCAAATATTTATCTCCTAGAGCCAAATACCAGGAGGAGGAGATAATGACATTTAGATATTACCACCCAGTGGTAATTATTTCTCAGTTACCCACTCAGAGCTTGGCTGTCATCAGTGACCATCTTTCTGAGAACTTTCACAGGAATACTGGCTGCTGGATGTGTGCAAGACATAAAGCCAATGCTATCATCTCTACCAAGGCACACAAATTCAATGCTCTTCCTCCCCCTCCCCCCAAATACAGACCATCCCTTTCTTAACATAATACCAAACACCCACTCCAAACAGACCTGGATTTCTCTGACGCTGTTTGCAGCTACTATGAGGGAGACTCCCACAGAAAGGCAAAACGCTCCCGTGAGAAAGAAAGTGGAGAGCACAGATGCCGTGGTAAGTCGGGGCTTCCATGCTGGTAGCTTCTGTTGTTTGAATGCACTGTTATCTGGACACCTGGAAGGACATGCTTCTGCTTCTTGTGAAGCAGAACTCTTCTTGTTCTTCATATCCTTCTTGTGAGAGGAAGAAACAACATACTTGTGCTGGACGGTGTTTAAGCTGAGATACAGTCTTTACTGTTGGGAAACTATATTGCTTGTTCAGATCTGCATTATGACTAGGAATTACTTATTAACTAGATCTCTCTCTTCCTCCTTTTCCACATTTGTGTATGGATTGCCACGATCAGCTTGTACCAATCAGATGATTGTGTACTCTGGTCAGTACGCCCAGATCATGCTTCCTGGAAAAGCTTACATATTTATTCCTGCCCCACAGTACAATAGCATTTGTTAAGTCTTATTCATTTGTGTAGATACTGCCAGCTATACTAGAATTTGTGTAATCTCAGATTCATCATTTCTTCTCCCTTCACTTCTATAGTTGCCCAGCTAACAGACGTGGGATAAAAGAAAAGACCTATTCCAGTTCACTGGATGCCACTGAGGAGGATTGGAGGGACTGAGAGTGCTGGGTATACAACACTACTTTGTAAAACCAAATAAACTTTCTTAACCTGCATTCATTGCTATTAAGAAGCAATTTAAAGTTCTAAAATGCTTTGTATTGTTTAGCACAATAGGGAAATTAATTCTAAAAATGTCTCATTTGGATTCTTCCAAGATGCTGACGATTTGCCTACCTCTATTCATCTTCTTTTTCCATGCAATAAATAAATAAAAAAATAAAAGCACCCTTCTACTCACAATTACAGAAGAATCACCCACAGACAAGCTGTTTTCAACTCCAATGGACAAAAAGTAGAATATTTTTTGAAGACTTCAACAGTTTAATCACAATAAACTCTCAGTTTGCTAGACAGATACTTTAAACATAACTTATCATGTAATGACAAAAAAATAGGATTTGGCCAGCTGTAGAGCAGATGAGAGAAAAATACTTTTTTGCCAAATTGCTGAAATTCAGATATTTCCAAAGCTATTTTAAGGTAAGAACTAGCTTACCACTCCTATGAGAGAAAGAGGTAACTGAGAATTGAATTGTACAAAGACTTTCACACTCACTTTTGCTCTTAAAAATGGCATGTAATAGTAAATCTTGTGGGTGAAAGCAATATACATTTAACTTTGCTTTTGCACTGCCTGTACAATAAAAGACTACCAATAAAAAAGTAGAAATAAAACTTCTGTTTTTATTATTAAAAGGAACCTCAGAATAAAGTTACACAGCACATTCTTTCTGCATCAATTATCTCTGAAAAATCAAAATTCTTAATCACCATTGACCACTTGCAGACAGGATAGAAGTAAAATGAACCTGTAAGTCACTTCCTTGTGAGTAAAACTATTAAAAGAGTCCCAGCTTCACAGACCCCTCTCTGCACAGCTTTATAATCCTCATCTCGAGTAGGTCGATTGTTTCTTTCTTTATCTAAGGAAGACAAAATTCAAAGAAAGCATCAAAGGTTACTGGTAATGCTTTAGCTAAACACCATGATTTTATTTATTTACTCAGGTATCTTACTGTAGAACTAGAAATTAAAGGAGAAGTTCCCACACAAGGCCCTTAGCTCTACAATGGTTCCATTTTCCTAGAATCACAGGATATATTGAGTTGGAAGGTACCCAGCAAGGATCACTGAGTCCAACTCCCAGCCCCAAACAGCACCACTCAAAATCCAAACCTCATGTCTGAGTGCTGTCCAAAAGCTCCCAGAACTCAGTCAGCTCAGTGCCCTGGGCAGGCTGTTCCATGCCCAGCGCCCTCTGGTGCAGACCCTGTCCCTGACCCCCAGCTGCCCTCCCCTGACGCAGCTCCATGCCGTTCCCTCAGGCCCTGTTGCTGTCACACAGAGCAGAGCTCAGCGCTGCCCCTCTGCTCTCCTCATGAGGGGCTGTAGGTGGCCATGGGGCCTCTCCTCTAAGGTTTACTGTGCAGTCCTAAGGTACAACAACAGCTCATACAACACAGCTACACAGTAATTGGCACAGCTGATTAAACTTGGCAGAGCAAGAGATACACCCTGGGCTGCAAGATTTTTGTAGGATTTTACAGTGTATCAAGTGTTATCAATGAGTCCAAGGGTAGTCCTGCACTGTAACAGCCACACAATGTTTGTGGCTGAGACTCCTGAATGAAACTGAGCATTCAGGTGTAACTAAGCCACATGCAAAGTACTTTGGTTTACAACACGGATACGACTGTACCTTACTGCTTATCTAAAGATCAAAAACGAATGTAAACAACGGTAAGAATAGATGACATATTTCAGCAGGAACTGAAGATTTGCTCATCATGGCAAGCCTAGAATTTCCTTATAGCTTCATTCTTCCTGCTCATGAATAACTTATTTCTGAGCTTTCCTCAGGTTTATATCCTTCTGTGCACAAGAATGTGTGATGTAAGAAAGTCTATCTAGACTATATTTCTAACAAACCCTTTTGCTTTAATAAAACCTGAAACTTGCTCAGTGCTTACATTGCTTCTAGAAGGAAATAATAAACAGTTAAGCAAAATATTTGAAAACTATATGTGAATCTTACAAAAAAGTAATTTGAAGAGTTGAGACAGGTCTGTATTGTCATCAACTGCTAAAGAAAAAAACTCCAAAGAGAAAAGTTTGTCCTTTGGTCAGATTTGAAATTACACCATCAATTTTTATGTAAGCCTTTACACTGTAGTGTAATTCAAGCTCATAAAAACAGAGCCCAGTAAACTCATTCATTCGACCTTTGGTTTCTTTGTGAAATTACTTCCTTCTCTCTTTGTTTGCTTAGGATGAATGCAATGAAAGACAGAAAAACAGAAAAAAGAATCTAACAGCATTAATGAATGAGATATTGAGGCAACTGAAAGAGCACTGGTCATCCATCCAGTGAATACAATGGGATACAGGACTGCCATGGGGAAGGATTCATGTATTTCTAAACATATATACACATTTCAGATTACACCACTCTGTATATTATTCTCCACTAAAGATGAGATGAGGACAGGAACAGCAAGTAGTATGCACCTTCAAAATGAAGCAATGGATTTTCCCATGAGTAGACAAGAGGTGCGTATTCTTCCAGCTGTTCCTGTTTTCTGCACATTTCATTATGCAGACAAGTATAACTACATTAAAATTTAGCACTGTAACACCTTAAACATATAAAGATATTACTGACAAAACAAGATTTGCAATGGAAACGTGTCACAATGCCTTTTTTCCAATTCTAAAGCACAATTTTGCCTCCACAATTGATTTAGGATAAAGAAAAATAGAACATTGAATTGCCAATTTTCATGCTGGTGGAACTAAAAATCACCTCTTTGAGTAAACATATGACTATTATTATCATGCATTTGACAATACTTCTAAAGATAGAAGAGTAAGATCCGCTGCTTACTGAGACTGTAGTTTGTATTTTAAGTTTGCAAGCTGCTAAACATACCACTGTCTTCTACTGCATTAAGGTGCACTATTTCAAAAACATTAGCTGGATATTTTTTATTACGGATATTTCTTAAAAATAACTTTCAGGAATCTGCGTGCTGTCTCCAGCAGGAAAAAAAAAAAGCTGTAAGGTACTCCACTTACATCGCCCAACATGTCAAAAATCTTTGTTTTAACTGAGGCAAGGGCAGATCTGATGACTTTGCTTTAATCACATTCACTATTCTGTAACCAAATATAAAGGACCTATCCTTAGGTTAACACTATGTCCAAAAGTGTAAGATTCTTTCTTGGTTTTATCTGAAACTAAGCCTGGATATTGACTTCTATAATTTCATGGATGGTCATTTTCCCTTAACAAAATAGAGCCGAAGTCAATTTGACCTGTATTCCTAGGCAGACATGCCAAAATGCCGTGATGCCTCCTACAGAGAGCTGAACAAGATGTTTCAAACTTGCAATATCCCCAAATCAAATGTTAACAATATAATATTTATTTCTTTTTCAATGGATCACCTGTAGGATACTGTGTGTATATTTATTTCAGCTGACTCGCAAAAATCTGTCCCAGTGGCAGCAGCACTTGTACTACTATCCTGAGGTAACATGCCTGTGAATGCAGGTTCTCTGGTGTTAAAAAACTTACAAATAAGTGCTAGCACTGTACAAAAGATTCTCAAGCATTTACCACAAGAGGGAGCCTCCTTGCCTCAGTATGCAAAGCTGTTCTTTTCCCTGCTTCATTTTGGCAGTGTGTTTTTTGCAGGGTGCTTTATCCAAGATTATTAGAAAGTTGCATCTTTGTGTGTGGGGAGGGACTATAAAATACAGCACGTTCAAAGATATAGGCAGGTGCAGAGTAGGAATAATGACTGACCATTTATTTCACTTGTGAAACAGCTTCCTATCTACATGAATGGAAGCCTTTTCCCAGTATGGAATGCATATCAGCCTGTGAAAATGTGTAGTGAAATGGGAGCTCTCTAGCAGAGACCACTAGAGCGATCCACCTCTTTCTGCTGGACAGACACCAGCTGATGGCCCACAGCATATGGTAAGCATATCTTGTCATAGCAATTAATGTGGAAGTTGGATTATAGAATTAGAAAGCATGAGGAGATATCTTAAAAAAGAGTCTACAAATAATGGATGGTTCTACATAGTTTGCAACCTACCTCTTTCCAAAAAAGGAAAAAAAAAAAAGAAAAGGAAAAAAAAAAAAAAGAAAACTAACTATACAAAGTTATTTTACTCTCAGAGACCAATAAATGCCATCCAAAGCTGTATTTAGTTTTTGTGGAAACTTTTTTTTGCATGAAGTCCTCTTACTGAATTTCCCGGGAACAGGCAGAACAACTATTTAGCATAAACAGCAGAAATTCACAGCACAGCTGTATTAGTCACAGCTGTGACCTGTAACAACAACAACAACAAAAGGAACCAACTTCCTCAAGAGGTAATTTTGAGATCTGAGAGTACCGATTTTCAAGTGAAACAGTGACTTGTTTTTGCATTCCTAGACTGCTAAGTCTGCTTTACAGAAATAAATCCTTACTGACCAAGGCACTAGAATCAAAAGCACTGAGTACACAGAATATTATATATACAGGTGCTCCTACAATACCTCAGGGATATCCATCATTCTCCTTAGTTTCTGATCTCTCCAGTTCCAATCCAGAATAATATATTTTGTGGAGTTCAAACATAGGCCATCTAAAAAAGACAACATAGCATGTGCTTATCAAAATTATTTTTTATGTTTTACATCTTTTGCTGTCTGTTCCCAAAGAAACTAATCTTTGAACACTACATTTGTGCTTGGAAAACTAATGCAGTGACACTGCAAACTCCTTTAACCACATAATCCTATGCCTTTTTGAAAGATAAACACAAAAGCAGAACTGTTGCCAGGCTTGTCAGGAGCTAACATCCTGCCAGCACATAATTCCTCAAGCTTCCTCTTGATGAAACCACAGGAGTTGAATTTCCACAGCTTATGAGGAGCTGGTAAGTTACAAGGACCTTAGCCTGAAAAATCTTATTAATGTGAATTGATGGTGTTTAGGAATTAAAAGGATGAAGTGCTATGTGAATGTGAGTCAGGTCAGTGGTGCTGTTGAAGGATTCCTTCATTCTCCAAACAAATTCTGTTGAAGGAAGAAGGCCCTTTCTGAACCTGCCCTCCAGTAGTTCTCCTATTTTTCCCTGGTCTTCTACATGCTGTCCACAGTTCTTCATATCACTTTTTACTCCTCTCCATTTTTCAGTGACCTAGCACTGCAACACTAAGCTGTCAAAAAAGGATTAGACACCTTGTGTCCCTACATGAGTTACATGGTAATATGCCAAAGTGTTGAACAGCAACAATGTAACATTGGTGAAGGACATAGCGGAAAAAAAAAAATATGCTATTCCTGTACCCCACTGGAAGGAGCTTTAGAGTTCAAATCTACAGACAGACCCTAACCAAGAAATCATAGTTGGGGAAAGGCAGTGCTTAGAAAGAGAAACGGAAAGAATCGCCTTATCTTGTCATTTTTGTTTGTTTTAATTTGTGCACGTGGTGTCTACTGAGTAAGTAAAACTGGAAAGAGAAAAGGACATTTATATACTTGATTTTATCATGC